CAAAATAGCTGAAACTGAGCCGATCCATAACCGGTAACCAGGAGCTTCTTCTAGGTACTCCACATGAATGCTGGGGCCAAAGGACTTGGGCCATTCTACACTTCTTTTCCAGGTGATTAGGAGGGGATTGGACTGGGAGTAGAGCATCTGGGACATGAACCATATGGGATGCTGGCACTTGCAGCCAGGCAATCAGGCTGCTATGCCACCATGCAGACCCCTGGGAATAGATCCTAATAAACATTTTTCAAAGAAAGACATGTGAATGGCCAAACCATATATGATTTTTTAAAAAGTTCAGTTTCATGAGTTCTAATGGAAATGCAGAGCAAAACCATAAGGAAAATCACCTTGCACCAGTTAGAAGGGCTGTCATTGAAAGACAAGTGCTGGAGAAAAGGAAGCTTTGCACACTGTCAGTGTGAAGTCACATTAGTACAGCCATTTTGGAAAACAACATGAAGTTTCCTTCCAAATTAAAATATAATGATGATACGACTCAGTAACTGAACTTCTGGGTATATATTCAAGGAAAATGAAATCAGTAGGAGGTGAGGGAAGATACACTTTGGACAGGAAAACTGGAACAACAGCCCTGAGGTTGGAATAGTTGTCATGGCACAGTAGGTTAAGCCCCAGCTGGGACACTCACATCACCTATCAGAGAACCCATTCTAGTCCTACCTACTTTACTTCCAGTCCAGCTTCCTGCTAATTTGCATCAGAGCCCAGACAGAGATCTTGGCTCCTGGCTTCAGCCTGGCACAGACCTGGGTGTGGCCATCTGGGACAGGAGCCCGCGGATGGAAAAAAATCAAGCTCTTCTCCCCTCTTTATTTTTCTCTGCTCTTCTCCCTTCCTCTTCTTCCTCTTCTTCCTGTTCTTCATGCTTTTTTTGTTCTTCTTTTCTCTCTGCCCTTCAGATAGATAGATAGATAGATAGATAGATAGATAGATAGATCAAATCATGTTTAAATAAAGCCCTAAGAAAAGGAAAAACATGAGTTAGAATGAACAAAAATAGAATATTATGGGTGGAACATGATCTTAGAGGGAAAAATCAGAAGTTCAGTTTTGGATGTGGGATATTTAAGATGTCTGTTAGTGGAAATATTACATAGATAGCAGCTTTTGCCAATTTGAAGTTCAGGGTAAAGGCCAGGGCTGGAAATAGAAGCATGGGACTTGTCAGCATATGAATGCTATCTAAAGTTACGAATTGATGAGATTAGCAAAGGGGTAAATAAAGCCAGAGAAGAAAAGAGTTTCAAAGACTGAGTCTGAGAAATTCTCAGACTGACAGATTGGGTTCTGAAAAGGAATCAGTAAGCAATGCTGACAAGAGAGTTGGAGGAAAACCATAGAAGTACCGATGGGGAAGCCCAGGGAAGAACGTACCCCCAGGAGGAGGAAATTATCAGCTGTAACAAATACTGCTGACTGACCAAGTCAAATTAGTATTGACAACGGTCTGCTGGATTTAGCCATTTCTAAGTCTAAATTACTTGTCAATACTAAGTTAGTATTGACAAAAGTCTGCTAGATTTAGAAATTTAGCAAGAGCAATTTCTGCAGCAAAAGTCTGACTGGTATAGACTGAAAAAGAACTGGAGAAGGGCCATTAGCAACAGAAATGGTAGACAAGCTTTCTGAGTTTTGGTGGAAAGGAGAGCAGAGAAATGGAACAGACAGCTGAAACAGGACGTGGATCAATAGATTTTAAGTTGGGACAGACAGTAGTCTGTGTATTTTACATTGAGTGATCCCAGGGAGAGGAGACGACTCAGGATGTGAGAGAAATAGGGGGGCTCAGTGGTGCTATCTTCTTTGGTAAGCAAGAAGAGATAGACGTTCTTGTAGGGTTTCCCTCACACAGATCATGTGCAGTCACCTGTAATTGAAGGGGCAGCAGTAGCTCCATGAATAAATGATGGGAGGTAGGTGCTTGTGCTGTTGAGCTTCTGTGTCCATCTCAGAGGTTTTCATACATCTTATTAAGCAGTAAGTATTTAACACCTAAATACTATTAAAATTACTGTTTATGAGATACTACTAGTAAATATTTCAGTTTAGCCAAATATGAAATTAAAGTGTTGGGAATCTGAAATTTTGTGTTAGTCCATAGAGGCTAACCAAGCACCTTAAACCACCTCATTTAAAAATAATAGAAATTTGGGCCCGGAGCGGTGGCGCAGTGGTTAAGGTCCTCGCCTTGCACGCCCAGGATCCCATATGGGCACCGGTTCTATCCCGGCAGCCCCACTTCCCTTCCAGCTCCCAGCCTGTGGCCCGGGAAAGCAGTTGAGGACGGCCCAAAGCTTTGGGACCCTGAACCCGCGTGGGAGACCCGGAAGAGGCTCCTGGCTTCAGATCAGCATAGCATCGGCCGTTGTGCTCACTTGGGGAGTGAATCATCAGACGGAAGATCTTCCTCTCTGTCTCTCCTCTCTGTGTATCCGCCTTTCCAATAAAAAAAAATAATAAAAATAAATCTTTAAAAAATAATAATAATAGAAATTTATGGGCTACTAAGAAAGGCTTTTTCTGTCACCCAAGAACGCTTTTTTTGGATGATTGAATGAGGAGTAAATTAGAGGTATGAGGCAATCAAAATTAATGCTATCTCCATAGTTTGAGGTTTCTAAAGTAATTCTTGTTACTCCTGGACCTAACATATTTTTTTTTAAATATTTATTTGAAAGGCAGAGTTACAGAGAGAGCAGAAGAGACAGAAAGAGGGAGATATTTTTATTCCACTGGTTCATTCCCCAGTTGCAGCAGCAGAAGCCAGGAGCCTGAAGCCCAACCCAGGTTTCCTACAAGGGTGGCAGGAGCCCAGCTACCTGGGCCATCATTACCTGCTGTCTCCCAGGAGTTAACTTAGAAGGAAGCTGGAACCAGAGGCAGAGATGGCTGAAACCCAGCCATTCCAATAATGGCACTTTGTATCCTAAATGGCATGTTAACCACTAGGCCAAACATTCACCTCTAAAGTTAGGTTTAAAGCTCAGTTCTTTTCTCACAGGCCGTGTTATTCTAACCAAGTAATTTAGCCTATCTAAGCCTCAGTTTCCTCATTTATTAAAATGAAATTTTTAGGGCCCAAAACAGGGAGGATGGCTCAAGCCCCTGGGCTGCTACACCCATCTCGCAGAAATTCCTGATTCCTGAGTTCAGCTTGGCTTGGCTCCAGCCATTGCAGCCATTTGAAGAACTGACCAGTGGGTTGAAGATCTCTGTCTCTCCCTCCCTCTCTTTTAAACTCTTTCACGTAAAAATAAATCTTAAAATAAATAAGCAAACAAAAATTTTAAAAATTCAAAAAAATAAAATGAAGGGCCCTATACCATGGCTTAATTGGCTAATCCCACCTCCTTCAAGCACCAGAATCCCTAATGGGCACTGGTTCATGTTGTAACCGCTTCACTTCCCATCCATCTCCCTGCTTGTGGCCTGGGAAAGCAGCATAGCATGGCCCAAAACCTTGGGGCCCTGCACCCACATGGGAGACCTGGAAGAAGCTCCTGGTTCCTGGCTTTGGATTGACTCAGCTCCAACAGTTGCAGCCACTTAGGGAACAAACCAGTGGATGAAAACCTTTCTCTTTGTCTCTCCTTCTCTCTGTAAATCTGCCTTTCAAATAAAAATAAACCTTTAAAAATAAAATGAAATTAAGCATATTCCTCTAGGTATCTATCTATTTATTTATCAGTATCTTACTTGTGAACTACCTGGTACAGTGCCTGGCACAAAGTGAAGTTTTAGTAAAACTGTTTTTTCTCTCCCTTTGCATTCTAGTCAGTAGTCCTGGATAGACCCTACTTTGCACTTGCCTGTTGCACTCCCAGGACTGGAGTCTCCGCTGTTCTGCTAACCAGGGAACCCATCTGGAACTCTCCTTGTTGGGATCCTCTGCTGCCTTGTCTGTTGTGTCTGCCCTGCTCAGCTGCTCTCAGCCTGTTCCTCAAGGTGAGAGCCTTCCCAGACACAGTTCTCTGCACTCCGCCAACCCCATCAGCATGGAGTCTGTTGACTTCCCAAACCCAGATGATACGGCGGGAACAGAATTTTTTTAAAGATTAATTTTATTTATTTATTTATTTATTTATTTATAAAGGCAGATCTAACAGAGAGAAGGAGAGGGAGAGACAAAGCTTTTCCATCTGCTGGTTCGCTCCCCAACTGGCCGCAGTGGCTGGAGCTGAGCCAATCCAAAGCCAGGAGTCCAGAACCTCTTCTGGGTCTCCCACGCGGATGCAGGATCCCAAGGCGTTGGGCCGTCCTCGACTTCTTTTCCAGGCCACAAGCAGGAAGCTGGATGGGAAGTGGGGCAGCCGGGACAGGAACCAGCACCCACATGGGATTCAAGCGCGTGCATGACAAGGATTTAGTCACTGAGCCATTGTGCTGGGACCTGGAACAGGGTCTTAACTCCTATGTTCTGTCCTTTCCTAACAAACTGTCCCATCATAGCTTTTACCCATATCTCTTACATGAAATCCCAAAGTTGCAAATGGCTCCCTGGACAAGAACGCACAAGCGGCTTCCCAGGGGCTGTTCCTGGGCACCTTGCCCTCCGCCACCACACCAAGGATCACAGGTATCACCAAACACGAGGAACTTTGTAACCAAAGCTTTGGGCTCTAGGCTAGCGATTCTGTCTCCTTGCTTTACAAGTGTTTACCCTTTGGAGTACCAGTGGTTATTAACACACTACATTTCAATGAAGTCTAAGAACAAAGCACTCCTAAAACCAAATCGCCATTTTAAAAAAATCGACAGCCGTGAACCAAGTGAGTCTTTCTCATACGCTGGATAAACAGGATGTCAGTAATCATAATACAAGAACTTAGCCTGAATTTCAGAGACTGGTGAAATGACTTCATTCTAACATGAAGAAACGCTCGCTTTCCAAACCCTCTAAAACTAGCTCACGCAATCCTTCGAGGCCGGAAGTGCAGTCTGCGGCTGCGCAGAAGACCGTAGGCCCAGGGTGCTTTGCGGCCAGTGCTGTGGCTGGCTGACTGCTCACGTGGAATAATCTGGAAACTTGGGAGCCGTCACGCTGGGTCTGAGGGCCGGTGGAACAGGTGTGTTGGGGATGAGACCGCCATGGGTCGGTCTCCCAATTCTTTCTTCCTTCTTGTGTCTGACGTGTTTTGTTTCCCCCTCAGCTTTGCAAGGAGGAAATCTTTCCCTTGGGGCTTTGGCGGCGCCCGGGAAGGCCCTCTTCAGCTTTCTCCTTCCCCTCAGAGTTTAGTGTGGGAAATGGGTTTCCTCAAATCTTCAGGACTGTAAAAGTGCGTGTGCCTCACAACTTTATCTGATTCCTGTCTAAAGAAAACGGAGCCCGTGTGAGGCCTGAAGGCCGCTATTGGTCCGAACTCACTGAAGGAAGAGCAGAGAACTTCATTTACGGGAGGATTGTTGTGCGTTGTTAATCTTGTTAGAAAACACATCATAGCTTAAGGAAAACAGCAACAACAACAAACCAGAACACTCGGGCCTTGGGACTAGCAAAGCCACTGGGTCCAGGCTTTATATTTTGTGATAGGCAAGCAGGCCGGCTGAAGTGGAGCCCAACATCTGGGCTGATGTTGGTCCAGCAGTCGCCCCGGCCCCAGGGTAACACATGGGAAGCCTGAATGTCCAATGCTCGTTTCCAGAATCATTAGCAGTCATTAACAGTGTACTTTTGTGGATCCACCTTCCGCGAACTCCTTTCTTACTTCTTAAGGCACAGAATTACTTTTTCTTTTACTGTTACATGTTTAGAAAAGCTTGTCAATTGTAAATGAACATATACCTAGATTGTATATAATGGATTTACCTATGTATATACATACATACAAACACACATACATACAAGGAAGTGCTCAAAAAAGCAACTAGTGTATACCCATTGTATATATGCAGTTATGTGGGTGTATCATGTTGGGAAGGGGTATAAAAGCTACAACCTTTCCCCAGGCATCAGAAACAAATGTTTGTCAATGCCTACTGAGTACCAGGTACCGGCTTAAGTAAAACAGAAGGTGTCCCTGCCCTCGTGGAGCTAGTTACCATGCTGTTCATTCATTCATGCAATAAATGAGGGAATTATAGAGCAGCTGGCTTCAACCCGGCAGGAAGAACTTTCTAATTATTAGAGTTGTTCAAAAGTAAAAGGAAAACCCCTTGGGAGCCATTAATTTACCATTACTAAAAATGACTTCAGTTGGATTTGTTTCTGAATTTTACTTCGAACTACTTCTGTGTTAAATAACCTGGAGAATATAAATCTGATTGCCATTAAGTGAATGATTTAGTGGGGGAATGAGGTGCACTTGTGAGTAGTTATGTTGAGCAGAATTTGAGAAATGCTCCTCAGAGGTATGTAGGATAGATTCTGAATTAGAAATTTTTGGTTGAGGCGATCAAGGGTCATTTCTTGAAGGAAACAAAATTTCTTTTTTTTTTTAAGATTTATTTTTATTATTTTTTTATTGGAAAGGCAGATATACAGAGAGGAGAGACAGAGAGGAAGATCTTCCGTCTGATGATTCACTCCTCAAGTGAGCGCAACGGCCGATGCTGTGCCGATCCGAAGCCAGAAGCCTCTTCCGGGTCTCCCACGCGGGTGCAGGTTCCCAAAGCCTTGGGCTGTCCTCGACTGCTTTCCTGAGCCACAGGCAGGGAGCTGGAAGGGAAGCGGGGCTGCCGGGATAGAACCGGCGCCCATATGGGATCCCGGGCGTGCAAGGCAAGGACCTTAACCACTTGTGCCACACTGCGCCGGGCCTCGAAGGAAACAAAATTTCTAATGGACTTTGAGGGAGAAGTAAGGTTTTAAAAATAGACTTCATGTTTAAGGGCAGTTTTAACTTTACAGAAATATTGAAAACGTAATAGATATATTCTAACACATTTTACATCTCATTTCCCCTGTTATTGAATTCATACATCCAGTTTCCCCTATTAATATCTTAGTGTGGTATATTTCTTGCAGTTACTATGCCAGTATTGAAAATTTTTTAAATATTTATTTATTTTTATTGCAAAGTCAGATATATATAGAGAGGAGGAGAGACAGAGAGGAAGATTTTCCATCCGATGATTCACTCCCCAAGTGACTGCAATGTTTGGTGCTAAGCCAGTCCGAATCCAGGAGCCAGGAACTTCCTCCAGGTCTCCCAGGTGGGTGCAGGGTCCCAAGGTGTTGGGCCATCCTTGACTGCTTTCCCAGGTTACAAGCAGGGAGCTGGATGGGAAGCAGGGATTAGAATCAGTGCCCATATGGGATCCCGGAGCATTCAAGGTGAGGACTTTAGCCGCTAGGCCATGGCACCAGGCCTGGAACATTTTTGTTCACTGAAATCCATAGTTTATCAAATGTCCTTAGTTTTTACCTAGTGTTCTTTTTTTCTGTTGCACATTCCCACCCTGGATACCTCAGTACTTGTAGTTTTAATGTTTCTGTAGGTGTGGTAACTTTTTTTTAAAGAAAAGATTTATCTGCTTACATATTCAAAAGGCACAGTGACAAAAAGGGGGTCTTCATATACTGTTCCATTCCCCCATGACCCCACCACCCAGAGGTCAGGCAGACGCCAGGACCCAGGAGCTCCAGCTTGTTCTTCTGTGTGCTGGGCTGATGCCTAAACACTTGGAGATCTTCCAGAAACTGAGCAGCAGTACTTTGGTATGGGATGCCAGCAAGCATCACACGTGACTACTTAACCTGCTTCACCCCAGTGCTGACCCCAGCATTGTGAAGTGCTGGTGAGATCATTTATAGGATGGTCTCATACTGAGATTTGATGTTTTTCTCATAATAGGATTTGGATGGTGAGATTGTTGATGTAGGCTTTGATCACAGTTTGAGGTAGTGTGTATCAGGTTTCTCCAATATCAACTTTTCCTCTCCACCTTTGTGATGATAATGCAGAGTGTTTTTTCGAAAGGCCAAGAGACAGACACATCTTTTGTCTGCTGGATTATTCCACAAGTGACTAGCTGGGCCTAGTCATGGACAAAGCCAGGAGCTAGAACTCAGCCTGTGTCCTCAGGTGTGTGCCTGGTCCCAAGCACTTGTGCCACCTGCTGCCTTCCAGGCTGTGTGAACTAGGGAGCAGGGGGGTGGAAGCAGAGCCAGCTGCTGCAGTGTGTGAAGGGGCATCCCAAGTGTGTCTTTACCCCTGTGCCCAATGCCTGCGGGCTCGTGTGCTCGTGATCTCTGACAGGTGTGCCCAGGGAAAAGACAAAGACATCCCACCCCTGACTCCGTAAGACTATTCCAAACACTCAGAAACTCTTACCACCACAACATGTTGGTATTAGCAAAAGCTGTCACCAAAAAGACAGTTTCTGTTGTGCCTGACTAGACTGACACATTATTACCTTGGTTGATTCTGCCTCTCAGTTCACGTTGACACGTATATGCCAAGCACAGCTCCTAGAGGCAGAGGACAGATTTTACAAGCATTGTCACTGCTCCGTAGCAGATACCTTCATAAGTGCTTGTCACCGCTCCGCCCAGCACCCAGCGGATTGTCGGGATATACTAGAATACTTTGGCCTCCTTACTTTTTTTTTTAATTAAAATTTGGGCCCAGTGGCGTGGCCTAGCAGCTAAAGTCCTCTCCTTGAACGCGCCGGGATCCCATATAGGCACCGGTTCAAATCCCGGTAGCTCTACTTCCCTTCCAGCTCCCTGCTTGTGGCCTGGGAAAGCAGTCGAGGACGGCCCAAAGCCTTGGGACCCTGCACCCGCGTGGGAGACCCAGAAGAAGTTCCTGGTTCCTGGCTTCGGATCGGTATAGCACCGGCCATTGCGCTCACTTGGGAAGTGAATCATCGGACAGAAGATCTTCCTCTCTGTCTCTCCTCTTCTCTGTATATCTGACTTTCCAATAAATAAATACATCTTTAAAAAAGAAAATAAAAAATTAAAATTTGTTTTTCATAGTACAGTTCCTTAGGCTCAGAGATTTTCCTTTTCATCTTCTCCCATCTCCTCGTGCCACACCCCCAACTCTTTTCTCCTGTATTGTAACAATAATTTAGTTTTTCAACAACAGTCAGAAGTCCATCATTCTGCTATTTTAAGTGTATCGTTGGTATAGAGAATGGTAGAAAGCCCAGCATTCTTACATTGAAATTAATAGCTTCATCTGTATACCTATCACATTTATTTGCCTATAAAAACACCCTATTTCTTCTCCCTCATCCCTTGCTTCACCTGATGTAGAAACTAGAGTACATTATAGATGTGCTGGTCTCTTCTTGATCCTCTGCCAGCTCTGTCAGAAACAGTAAGTGGGCAGGTATGAGCCAGAGGAGGTCATGTGACTTCATCTCTTCTTATGTACACCCTGGAATGGGCCAGAGCTTTCACCAGGTGAGCTCAGGAAACATGGCCTTGTTTTTGGAAGCATGATATAATTGAGGAATGGTGTCTTTTAAAACAGCTTGATCCTTCTAAGCTGAACAGATCTCTGACGAATAGAGGGAGATGGTAAAAATCCTGCAGTGTTAATGATATTCAAACTAGACATATAAGATTTATTTTATTTATTTGAAAGGCAGAGTTGAGAAAGAAATCTCTCATGAATTGGTGTACTTCCCAGTTGCCTGCAGTGACAGGCTGGGCTAGGTGGGTCTCCAGTGTGGGTATGTGAGTGGAAGGCCTTGGACCCATCTGCTGTTGTTTCCCAGGCACATCAGCAGTGAGCTGAATTAGAAGTGGAGAAGCTGGGACTCGAACTGGTTTCCAATGGAATAAAGGCATAGGCAACAGCTTAGCCATAATGGCACAATTCCAGCCCTTAAGCTTGGATTTTCTTATTCCCAACTTGTTATGATCTTTATTTTGCTTCTTTCTTTTGGACTAATGGCTTGTGTTTGGCAAAATTGTCAGGAATCAGGGATGCAGATGTGAGCAAAATTTTCTCGGAGCAGCTTTCAATGGGGTGTCTTTCCATTGGGACTACATCTATGTCAACAAATTATATATTAATGAGTGATATAATAGAGCTGTGTTTGTGGTACTATAAGGCCATAAGAGTAAAGTCTTAGTTATCTGTGGAAAATAGGGCAAGCTTTTGCAGAAGGCTCATATAAACTGTTTATTGCTAAAGCTGTTTATTGGTCAGAATATGTAAATAGGTGTGGGAAACAGGTATTGCTTGAGGAATAGAGGTTCTTGAGAGTAGCTAGAGCATATGTAATACGTGGGGATGGCAGGACATTAGGCTGAAAAGGAAATTTTGGATTTTGTTCTGTAGGACATGGTGAATCATTGGATGATTTCATTTGAGAAGGATATAATACATGATTTTGAAGGATAATTCCAAGCTATTTTAAAATCATTTGTCGTGGAAAAACTTTGGTACTAGGTCAGACGTCTAGTGTCAGTTACCAATAATGATGTTCAGATAAAATGTAGTGTATCTATATAACAGAGAATTGTACAGTCCTTGCATACTTTTGAAAATTATGTAAGGAAAAATTCTTATGACAAAATGTTAAATGAAAAAACAGGGTGTGAGTTCTAAATATATGCATAGATAGATAGCATATTTATAGATTGAAAGATTCAATTGCATAAGCAGTTTAGTTTTTTCTAAATTTCTTTATAAATCAAATGCAATTTGATTTTAAGAAGTCCCCCAGAGTCAGGTGTTGTAGTGCAGTAGGTTAAGAACCTGCTTCGGATGCCTAAATTCCATAGAGTATCCAGTTCCAGACTCTGCCACTCTGCTTCTGATCTACTCTCCTGCTCTGTGGCTTATGTATTTGAACTTCAGCCTCCCACATGGGAGACCTCAATGTAGTTCCTGCTTCTGGTTTCAGCATGGCACATCCCTGACTATTTCAACTGTTTGGAAAGCGAACCAGTAGATGGAAGAGCTGTCTTTCCCTCCCTCATTTTTATGCCTGTTAAAAAAAAGTTTTTTTTAATTTATGGCTTAGTGCAGTAGCCCAGTAGCTAAGGTCCTTGCCTTGCATGCATCGGGATCCCATGTGGGCACCAATTCTAATCCCAGCTGCTCTACTTCCCATCCAGCTGCCTGACTGTGGCCTGGGAAAGCAGTTGAGGACGGCCCAAAGCCTTGGGACCCTGCACCCGTGTGGGAGACCTGGAAGGAACTCCTGGCTTCAGATTGGCTCAGCTTCAGCTGTTGTGGCTCACTTGGGGAGCGAACCAGTAGATGGAAGATCTTCCTCTCTGTCTCTCATCTCTGTAAATCTTTCCAATAAAAATAAGTAAATCTTTTTTTTAAAAAAAATAAACTGTTAAAGATTTACTTATTTGGGGCCTGGCACAATGGCTCAGTTGGTTAATACCCCCCTTCAAGCACTGGGATCCCATGTGTATGCCGGCTCATGTCCCAACTGCTCCATTCCCATCCAGCTGCTTACTGTAAATGCACGTGAGACCATCCAAGCCTGCCGAAATCTTGGCCACACCTTCAAGTGGTTGGCACAAGCATTACCCACCCATTTCCTGACTGGTTAAGAGACCACCAGTGGGGAACCTTTTACCTGTAGGTTCCCACCTAACAAGGAGGGGTCAGGGAAGGCTTAAAAAACCCAAGACCCTTCCTCATACCTTTGGTGTTGCTCCGCCTCTCCTTCCAAGAGGCACCCTGCCTCCTGGCCTTCTCTGGGTGTTTTCTGCTTCTCTCCTTTCCCCACTCACCTGGTCCCTCAGAAATAAAACTTGTCTGTTTGTAACTGGTTCCCAGCCTTTTATGTTTTTTGGGTTTTTTTTAAAGATTTATTTTATTTTTATTGGAAAGTCAGATATACAGAGAGGTGAGACAGAGAGGAAGATCTTCCGTCCAATGATTCACTCACCAAGTGAGCACAACGGCTGATGCTATGCCAATCCGAAGCCAGGAGCCTCTTCTGGGGTCTCCCATGTGGGTGCAGGGTCCCATAGCTTTGGGCCGTCCTCGACTGCTTTCCTGGGCAACAGGCAGGAAGCTGGATGGGAAGTGGGGCTGCCAGGATTAGAACTGGTGCCCATATGGGATCCGGGGTGTGCAAGGCGAGGACCTTAACCACTTGTGCCACACCACCAGGCCCCGCCTTTTATGTTTATACTAGGCTGAGGAAAGAATCCACCAAGCTTTTCTGATACCACAGGCCTCTCCCTATAAATTTTAAATCTTATAAGAAACCTTCCAATTACTTTTTCCTTGATCCTAAAATTGCTGTAAAATAAAAAAAGACCCCAAATGGCTGTAGTACTAGTGAAAAGAAGAAGGAATTTTCATGTAGCTGAAAAAAGTTTTTATAAAACTAAAAATGCTGTGACATTGGCTCAGAAGTAATCCGACTGAGCAATGATATAGAGAACCTACAAACAAACCTAGTCATGCCTGTGTAAATGGTCGGGGGAAGAGGGATCACTGAATAAACCGTGTGACAACAAAGTAGCCATATTTTTTTAAAAAATGAAATTGTATTTGCCCTTCAGATTCCTTAACAATCTGCAGATGGAGAGTGCCAGCATTTAGCTGAGTAGTTCAGACAACCACCTCGAGCTCCTGACCCAGCTTCCTGCCAACACATACCCTTGAAGGCAGCAGTTGGTGGCTCAAGTGGGTGATTTCCTGCCACCCACATAGACAGCGAAGGCTTGGATTGCAGCACTGCTCCGTGGCTTAGGCCTCTCTCGAGCGTCAGCTACTGCAGGCATTTGGGGAGTGAAACAGCATATGGGACTTTTTTAAACCTTATTTTTAGCAGATAGGACTTTTTCTGTCTCTCTTTCATGTACGCAAGTTAAGCTGAGTATCTCGCATGAGTACAGGTTTGTCTAGCCTACTCTGCTTCCAATGCAGCTGCCTGCTATTGTGCCTGGGACAGCACAGGATGGCCCCAGTGTTTGGGCCCCTGCTGTTCACTTGCGAGACCCAGATGGAATTCAGAACTGTTCATTTCAGCCTGAGCATTGCAGCCATCTGGGTAGTGAACCAGTGGATAGCACCCTTTCTTTCTCTTCCTCTTTCTAACTCTGGCTAAATAAAATTTTTTCCCATTTTTTTTTTCAGATCTTATCTTACTGTTATTAGAAAGGCAGATTTACAGAGAGAGAGGGAGAGAGAGAAAGATCTTCTGTCTGTTGGTTCATTTTCCAAGTGGCTCCAACAGCCATAGCTGAGCTGATCCAAAGCCAGGAGCCACTCCCAGGTCTCCCATGTGGGTACAAGGTCCCAAGGCTTTGGGCAGACCTCAACTGCTTTGCCAGGTCATAGGCAGGAAGCTGGAAGGGAGGTGGAGGAGCCAGGACTTTATCATCCATTTGGGATTCCAGCATGTTCAAGGCGACAACTTTGGTCACTAGGCTACTGCACTGGGTCCCCTAAATGAATATTTTTTTAAAACAAAAACAGTTCAGACCCCATCCTTGGACTATCTTTTAACGGATGTTTGTATAACAAATAGTTTTATAAAAGTACAGTATTTCCTCCCAGTACAGGAGGCAAGTTTGCTTGTAAAAGATTGGAGTTTCCTGGGACCAGTGCTATAGCATAGTGGCTAAAGTCCTTGCCTTGCACATGGCAGGATCCCATATGGTCACCAGTTCTAATCCCGGCAGCCCCTTCCCTTCCAGCTCCCTGCCTGTGGCCTGGGAAAGCAGTTGAGGACGGCCCAAAGCCTTGGGACCCTGCACCTGTGTGGGAGACCTGGAAGAACTCCTGGCTCCTGGCTTCGGATCGGCTCAGCTCGTCACTGCAGCCACTTGGGGAGTGAATCATCGGACAGAAGATCTTCCTCTCTGTCCTTTCCAATAAGAATCAATCCATAAAAAAAAAAAGATTGGAGTTTCCTACTGTTGGTTCCTTTCCTGTGTCCGTCCACTGTGTGTGCAGATATAACCTGGCCTTAGTCCTATTGCCCTGTGGCAGTTGGCTGGGGAACTGGTGTAGGATGACAGTGTGGCTGTGCGTGTAACGTGTCTTGTCTCTGAGGCTTGCGCCTTCTTCTATGTACATGAAGCTTTCTGGTGACCTTCTTAGCTTGCAAAAAGGATAAAACCTGACTTTAAAAAAGGCTTAGCATTGTCCTTTTCCCTTGGGTTAGCATTCTAAAATGTGAACCATTGTTTTTCATGATTATTAATAGGAAGCATAGTATTGAATTAAATAAATTTAATTTTCAAGGCATAGTCAAATTTTGGCATTCAAATATTAGTTAACATGTCTCTATTACCCTAGTTTTATTTCTGTCTGTACTATTTTTTTAAAGATTTTTTTTTTTTAATTGGGAAGGCAGATATACAGAGAGGAGGAGAGACAGAGAGGAAGATCTTCCGTCCGATGATTCACTCCCCAAGCGGCTGCAATGGCCAGAGCTGTGCCGATCCAAAGCCAGGAGTCATGAGCCCCTCCGAGTCTCCCACACGAGCACATGATCCCAAAACCTTGGGCCGTCCTTGACTGCTTTCCAAAGCCGCAAGCAGGGAGCTGGATGGGAAGCAGGGTCTGCCGGGATTAGAACCGGCGCTCATATGGGTTCCCAGGGTGTACAAGAAGAGGACTTTAGCTGCTAGGCTCTCTCACCGGGTCCTGTCTTTACTATTAACCAAATATTTATATGCCTTCTTTTGCTCTTATTTTTCTTAGACTGTGGCACCTTTAGAAGCTGAGTTGATCTAAAGACACAGATGGCTGAAAGTGGTAAAAAGGAAAAGATAAAATGGACAACCACCATTATTATTAGTTCATCTCTTAAGGTAAATGAGGTGTTTGGGCTGCTAAATCTTCAAAAAGTTAAAAGCACAATTGTCATCTAGAACAACATTTTAAAAATTTTCTTTAGCCTGGTTACCCACCCTTAACTTGGAGACAGAAGAAGCACATAAATTAAATGTATTTTTGAGATAAATTATACACTGCCTATATCTGTTTTCAACATTGTGCTTCCTAAGGCTCCGAGGATTGGCAAGTTTCCTTTTCTCGGTCTCTAAGCCTGTTCTAGTAAGATGTTAAGAGATTCCAGAAACAGTAAAGCACACACAGGTTTATTACTTAAAGGTTCCTGAGAGAAGACACCAGAGGCTGATCCCCCTGCCCAACAGGACTGCAGTGGGACTGTCCCTGCAGTGCCGAGCAGGAGGAGAGTGGGAAGGGGCTGCTGAGGGCAGCTGAGTGGTCCACACTGTTGAAGCAGCACAGCTTCTCATCCCGTACCTTCCCCATTGCCCTCAAAGTTATCTATAGATGGCTGATGGTTAACATGAAGGGGCAAGACTGCAGCAAGGAAGAGAGAAAAAAAGAATTTAAAATGAGATTTTTAAAAGATGTATTTATTTATTGGAAGGGAAGGTTAAAGAAAGAAAGGAGAGGCAGAGAGGTCAGCCATGCACTGGTTCAGCATCTGAATGGCTGCAACAGCAAGGATTGGGCCAGGCCACAGAAGGAGTTGCGTCCCAGCCTCCCATGTGGGTAGTGGTGGCCCAAGTACTTAGCAGGAAACTGGCTTGAAGTGTAGCTGCTGGCACTGCAGGTAACAATCCAACTTGTACACAACACAGACCTCAGTAAGATTGTATTTATTTATCCTATTTCTTATTGCTGCCTCAAGTAGTACTTTGCCCTGTTGATTTCAGCTGTCCAGCTGCATAGCACATTAACAGTTTAATACATCTTATGTCACACAGATTTTTTATGCTTCTTATGGATAGCTTTCTGGAATCCATGTTTCTCTCTTGCTGCTATAGCTTTTCCAGATTGATATATGAAAGAGGGAGCCGTAAATTCATGGTAATTTGCCAAAAGTAGCTATTTATGGTGTACTTATTATTTAACCATGTTGTTTTTTGCATTTAGTCCTACATTTTGTTTCATTTTCTCTCCTTCGTATTTTTGTATTGATTGCTTATTTTGTTCTCATTGTCTTTCTCTTTCTTTACTAATTTTTGCTGTTGCATTCCCTATTTCTTCTTTTAATAGTTCTCCCAGAAATTTTAACATGTACTTAGCTCCAGAAAATCCAAACAATACTTTTAGCCTCTTCAACAACAACAAAAAAGTCCTAGAACATTTTTATTCCAATTATATCTTTCAAAAAGATTATTACAAATGATCACAAATGGCCATGGATAGGCCAGGCCAAAGCCAGATGTCAGGAACTTCCTCTGTGTCTTCCATATGAATACAGGCACCCAAGCGTTTTTCTGCTTTCTCAGACCATTGGCAGGGAGCTGGATCAGAAGTGGAGCAGCTGGGACTCAAATCAGTGCCCATGTGGAATACTGAAAATGCAGGCAATGGCTTAACCTGCAACATCTCAGCGCCAGCCTCCATGTTATATGCTATTATCATATATTTTAATTGTTTTTTTAACTACACAAAACATTCTATTTTTTAAGATTTATTTTATTTTTATTGGAAAGTCAGATATACAGAGAAGAAGAAATAGAGAGGAAGATCTTCCATCTGATGGTTCACTCCCCAAGCAGCCGCAATGGACAGAGCTGAGCCAATCCAAAGCCAGGAGCCCCAGAGCCTCTTCTGGATATCCCACATAGGTACAGGGTCCCAATGCTTTGGGCCGTCCTCGACTGCTTTCCCAGGCCACAAGCAGGGAGCTGGATGGGAAGTGGGGCCTGCCGGGATTAGAACCGGTGCCCATATGGGATCCTGGTGCATGCAAGGCAAGGACTTTAGCCACCAGGCTACTGCACCAGGCCCAAAACATTATTTTTTAAAGGTAGCATTTGTTTAGATTTACTCATTTGTTTTCCACTTTTCAATTCTTTTTATATATCTTTTCATCTTTCTTACCTGTATTTTCTTTCATGTAACTCTGGCCTTCAATTTTGGGTCACTTTGTTTTTAACTAAATTACTTTGTAATTAACCTCAGTGAGTAGCTTCTAGAGATAAAATCTCTCAGTATCAAAATGTTTTGTTTTCCCCTTATCTTGAAAAATAGTTTAGGAGCTGGTATCATAGTGTACTAGGCTAAGACTGCCTGCAGCATCCAACATGGATGCTGGTCTGTGTCCCGGCTGTTGCACTTCTGATCCAGCTCCATGCTTACGGGCTGGGAAAGCAGCAGATGGCCCAGGTGCTCGGGCTCCTGCACCCCGCGGGAGACCTGGAAGAAACCCCTGGCTTTGGGTCAGCTCAGCTCTGCCAATTGCAACCATTTGGGGAATGAGCCAATGGATGGAAGATCTCTTTCTCCCTCTGTCTCTCCTTCTCTGTGTAACTCTGCCTTCCAAGTAAAAATCAAATAAACCTGTTTTGAAATATATAGTACATATTATTCACTACAATTGCCCTAGTGTGTAATAGTTTACCAGTTATCCTTTCTAATGGTAACTGTATGAAAAAAGTTACGTTTCAACATTTTTGCACCAACATAAAAATATTTTACTTTTTTTTCCCATGAACTTTTTAATTTGGTCAATAATTGCCTATGCGTACTCTATTTTTTGTTGGCCACTCTATCATCATATACCCCATCCTGCAAACACAGAGCCTTCCCTGTTAGCAGCCTGCCCAACAAAACCGGTACCTGTGTTACAACATAATCATTCAAAACCCATAGTTTACATTGGGGCTCACTGTTGATATTGGACATTCTGTGGGCATGGAAAAACATTTGCTAATCTGTGTCCACTGTTATAGTCTCATATTAATTTCATGACTCTAAAAAGCTGTCTGTGTTCTTTCAGTGGATTTGTGTGTGAGTCTTTTTTTAGATTTAAAATGTCATTTTGTAGAGTGTTAATGAAAATGTTACTGTGGTGGAATTACTTCTCAAAACTTTGACAAGCAGAGAGACAGAAACAGAGCTCGCGTTTGCGTTTCATTTGCCAACGCTGACAGTTGTTCCTGGCTGGGACCTAAACTGGAAGCCAGGAGCTTAATCCAGATCTCCTGGCTGGGGGGCAGGAACCAAATCGTCTGAGGCTATCGCACCATGTCTGCATGAGCAGCAAGCTGGGGGCAGGAGCTGGAGCAGATACTTGAACTCAGGCACTACAAGGTGGGACATTGTCCTCCTAACCAGTGCCTTACTTCTAGGTCAAATACTCATCCCTGGAATTGTGTTTTTAATTCAAAATTCCACTTCTTAAAAATTGCTGCTGTGTAGGAAAGTGATAGAATTTTCCATGTTGACCACTTGCCCTCCAGCCTTGGTATGTTTCCCCCAGAGGGGTTGTGGCTGATTCTTTTTACTGTTATGCTTTTTCTGCATGTGATCATGCCATCTGTAAACAAAACATTTTATTTCTTCCTTCTCAGTTTGCATACTTATTTCCTTATTTCATTAGCTGGAATTTCTAGTGTGATGGTGAAAAAAAGAGTAGTAGGATTGAGCATCCTTGCTGTGCTCCTGATCTTAGTGGGAAAGCTTCAGGCTTCTCATTATGTACAATGTTAGCTATAGGTTTGTGATATATTCCTTATCAAGTTGGGGAAAGTCCACATTCTGTTTTCCTGAGATTTTTCTTCCTCATACGTGGGTGTTAGATTTTGTCACATGCTTTTTCATCATGATATGGTCATATGATTTCTCTTTTTCAATCTGTTGCTAATGTTGGATTACACTAATGGATTTTTTTTTTAGATTTATTTTTATTATTATTTTTTTTTATTGGAGAGGCAGATACACAGAGAGGAGAGACAGAGAGGAAGATCTTCCGTCTGATGATTCACTCCCCAAGTGAGCACAATGGCCGATGCTATGCCGATCCAAAGCCAGGAGCCTCTTCCGGGTCTCCCACGCGGGTGCAAGGTCCCAAAGCTTTGGGCCGTCCTCGACTGCTTTCCTGGGCCACAGGCAGGGAGCTGGAAGGGAAGCGGGGCTGCCGGGATAGAACAGGTGCCCATATGGGATCCCGGGCGTGCAAGGCGAGGACCCTAACCACTGTGCCACTGCGCCGGGCCTGGATTTTTTTTTAAAAGGCTTATTTATATGAAAGATAGATTTACACAGAGAAGGAGGGAGAGGTAGAAATAATTCAATCTTCATCTGCTGGTTCACTCCCCTAAACAGCCACAGCAGCTGGGGATGGGCCAGGCTGAAGCCGGGTTTCCCACATGGGTAGAGGGCCCCAGGCACTTGGGCCATCCTCCACTGCTTTCCCAGGTACATCAACAGGGGGCTGGATTGGAAGTGGAGCCCATATGTGATGTCAGCACTTTCGGTGACCTCTTAACCCACTGTGTGCACACTTGGGATAGATCCCATTTGGTCATGTATGTTATTTTTATATATTGCTGGATTCAGTTTTGCTCATGTTTTGATGAGGACTTTCACATTCATCTTCATGAGAGATACTGGTCTATGGTTTTCTTTGCCATAAAGTATTATTTGAAATAACTACAACAAACAAGGCTGAACAGGCTGAAACCAGGAGTGCAGAATTCAATCCAGGTCTCCCAGCACAGGTCTCTGTCCTATGGGGACCTAAGTTCTTGAGCTGTTACCTTATGCATGATCAGGGTGTGCATTATCAGGAAATCGGATTGGAAACAAAGCCAGGACTGGAACCAGGTACTCGGTTTGGGATATGGGAATCCAAAGACTTTCTTAACCACTGTACCAAATGCCTGTCGCTCCCAAACATCTTAATTGGGTTGGTATTAAGGTAATGAAAGCTTCATAGTATGAATCCAATACACTGCTTCTGCTAAAAGAGTGCAGAGAATTGCTCTATCTTCTTAAATGTATGATAGCGTTTACCACAAATCCATCTGCTTTCAGGTTTGGAAGATTATTGTTGATTATTGTATCTTTCTTCTTATGGAAGTTTTGGCACATTGATCTTTCTAGGAATTAATCCATTTCATCTTTGTTGTTAAAGCTGTAGGCACAGAAGTGTTCACTATATTCTTTTTATTATTTTTAATGTCCATGATGAGTAGTGATGTCCCTCTTCATTTCTGATTAGTAATTTATGTGCTCTTTTTTCTTGGATAAAAACTTACTGATTTTATTTATCTTTTCAAAGAACCAGCTTTTAGTTACATTGCTTTCCTCTGTTGATTTCTTTCAATTTTACCTAATGTAAATTTTTTGTAATTATTGTTTTTTCTGCTTAATTTGGGTTAAATTTGCTCTTCTTTTTACAACATTATGAAGTAGAAATTTAAATGTTGTAGTTTTATTTATTTGAAAGAAAGAGTAACAGAAAGATAGGGAATGGTAGAGGTATCTTGCACCTGCTGGCTCATCCTCCTCTCCTTCCTCAAATGCCCTCAGCAGCTGAGGCTGCTCCAAGTCAAAGGCAGGAGCTTAGAACTCAATCCATGTAGTCCACACGGATGGCAGGGGGCTAAGTAGTCATCGGCCACCTTCCCACGTGCAGTAACAGAAGTAATGTCGGTATCATAAGCATTAGCTTAACCCATTGCACCACATTGCCTCCAGCAATGATGTTTGCTTTTCAGGTCCTTTTCTTTTCTGAATTCAATGTACATTTTCTATAACTACTTTCACTGCATCCCACACATTTTGGTAAGTTTGCTTTTATTTTCAGATAGTTCAAAATATTTCATGTAGTTCAAAAGATTGATTTTAAAGGCAGAGTTTGGAGTGTCAGAATGGAGAGACGGTTCATCTGCTGGTTCACTCTACAAATCCTGACAGTGGCTGGCGCTAGGGGCTTCATTCTGGCTTCCTGGGTGGACTGCAGGGACCCAAGCACTTGGGCCATTTTCTGCTGCTCTCCCATGCACGTTGGTAGGGAGCTGGCTCAGAAATGGAAAAGCCAGGACATGAACCAGCTCCTAAATAGGTAGCAGCTTTACTGGCTATGCTTAATTCTAGCCCCTATTAACAATCACACTTTTTTTTTTTTTCCAATTTAGTACTTTGTAATCTTGTCTTTATTATTTTCTGCTATTGCTTTTACTATCAGTCTTTTGGTTAGTTCCCTAATAGGCTATGACTGAAACTCATTAAGCATGTACACATTCCAAATTCATCATATAAGAATAATATTTTCAGATGTGAATGACTTTCTGTGTTATTCCTTATATCCATTCTCTTCTTACCTTTATCTTCTTTCCACTTTCAAGTTATAAGTAAAATTTTAGGCAGCTTTCCTGACTCACTTCCTTCACATCCCTTTATATAGTCTGCTTCCTTGCCAGAACTCTCAGCCTTATCTTTCACCCACTTAAACACCGGAGTTGGAACCATCTTAGGATACATATCTGATAGCTTCACTGCACACATCCCCTGTGAGTTTCTTACCATACCGTTGTCTCTTCTTCTAGTTCTGCTCTATGATTTTTTTGCTTTTTGTGTCTGATTGTTTTTGTTAAATTTTTTGAGAATATCAGAAATAATTTGAGGTACGGATTAGTATTATTATCTTCAAAAGTAGTCTGGATTCTGCGAGATGGATAAGCCACTAATGTTCGAGCAGATAGCATACATTTGAATTTCAGATGAAAGGAATGAATTTAGTGTTAGTAGATCTCAAGTATTGCATGGAGTATACATACCAAACTTTGTGTTGCTATTCTACAATTTGAATTTAACAAGGGGTTTTATGTTTGCTAAATCTGGCACCCAACACCCTCAGCTGTAGATATAATGATTCTTACCTTCCATGCACTCAGAATGGCACCAGTTTTGGAAGAATTAAGAAAATAGTCACTCATATAATTTTATTTATTTTGTAATTGAAATGAGGAGACTTCAATTTTTTTCCTTAAGAGTTGTTTCATTTACTTGAAAGCATTAGAGAGAGGAAAGGAAAGATACAGGGGAGTCGTTCTGCAATGGCTGGGGCTGGGCCGTGTGAAAGCCAGGAGCAAAGAGCTTCTTCCAGATCACCCATGTGGGGGGCAGGGACCCATGCACCTGGGCTGACTTCTGCTGCTTTCCCAAGTGCATTAATAGGGGACTAGATTGGAAGCTGTGAAGCCTGAACTTAAACTGGTGCTCATATGGGATGCCAGCACTGCAGGCTGTAGGTTAACATACTAAGTCACAGTGCCAGTCATCACCTCCACCTCCGATTTTATTTTTATATCAGGAAAGATTACACTGAAGTATACTCATTGTAGCACAATGGGTTATAAGCTGTAGCTTGGGGCTAGTTTAGTGGCATACCAGGTTAATCCTTTGCCTGTGGCACCCAGGATCCCATATGGACACTGGTTCTTGTCTGGCTGCTCCACTGCCAATCCGGCTCCCTGCTTGTGGCTTGGGAAAGCAATGGAGGATGGCCTAAAGCCTTGGGACCCTGCACCTGCTTGGGAGACCTGGAAGGAACTCCTGGCTTCAGATTGGCTCAGCTTCAGCCGTTGTGGCCACTTGGGGAACGAACCAGTGGGTGGAAGATTTCTGTCTCTGCTCTGTCTGTAAAGCCTGCTTTTCAAATAAAAATGCAATAAATCTTTAAGGGAATGAAATAAGCTGTAGCTTATGAATGCCAGTTTGGACCCCACCCAGCTGCTACAGTTCTCATCCTGCTTGCTGCTAATGTGCCTGGGAAGGCAGTAGATGATGACCATATGTTTAGGCCTCTGCTATTCATGTAGAAGACCAGGATGAAGTTCCAGGTTCCTGGCTTCAGGCTGGCCCAGCTCTGGCTGTTTTTGAGCAGTGAACCAGTGGCTAGAAGATTCCTCTGTCTCTGTAATTCTGTCTTGCAAATATATAAATCTTCAAAAAGAACTAGAAGGGTTTCTTTAGGGAGTGGTTGCAGGGTGCTGGTGGCACTAGCAGTTCAGTACTGTCACTTTTATACAATGGCAGGGATTCAGATGATTTGAAGCTTGAGCTTCAGTCCCTGAGAGAGCTGTTCTACTTTTGTCAAAAGCTCTGATCAGCCACTTCCGCCTCTTCCTGAATTGACAGAGGCCCTCAGGGAAGAAATGGCCTAAATGGTGGGCTCATACCTTTGAATTTCAGTGTAGATCTTGGCCTTACACACTTTCCCCAATTCCTGCCAGCTCTCTGGTGCATTCAAGTAGGTTTGAAAAAAAGAAAAATTTTTCCTAGTCCAGTTTTTCTAGTTGCTCTCAGCAGGAGGGCTGACCTAAATTATTTAATCTGCTGCTGCTGGAAGAAGCACTGTATAATTTTAAAACGGCAGAAGAACCAGAGTTGAACTCTCAATCAAGATTTAAGTAGCACAAAATACTCTTTTTAGGAAGAAAAAGCAGCATATATTTTAATACAGATATCAGCCAAAGTGCTTAAAAAAACACATGCTCTGAAGCAAAATATAAAAAGTCTACGTCAGGGATTTAAAATATATATTTGAGAGGCAAGAAGATTGAACTTTCATCCTGGTTTATTCTCTGTATGCTCCTGACTCTGGAATGGGGCCCGGCCAGGCCAAAGCTGAAAGCCGGGAGCCAGGAACTCACCCCAGGTCTTCCAGCTGGGTGGCAGGGACCCAGCTACTTGAGCTAGCACCAGCTGCTTCTCAGTGTACATGGCAGGAAGTTGGAACCAGGCAGCCTAAGGTCTCAAAGAGGCACTCCAGTTTTGGAAGCAGCACTTTACAAGCTTGAATTTAACTAATCTAGAAACATTGCCAACCTCTAAGATTCTAATATCCTGGGTATGAATAATCTAATTGCTTCATTGGAGTTGGAAATAGGTGAATTTTTAAATACTATTTAAGCCACAAGTCCTATTGCTGTCTTGGTATGTGTTTTCTGATTCACTTAAGCCTAATAAAATAACTGTAATGTAAATAGATGACTTGCAGAACTAGTTTTCTCTTGTGTGGCAGTCTGTGTCTAGCACTTTGTGGTTCTGTCAGCTACCTAAGGAATACCACCCACTTCCACAGTCATGTACTAACAAGTGTCACACTCAATCTCCCCATTGTTTTTCTAAAGTACGTTTGCCATTGCTGCGTTTCCTATGGCTTCTTTAATTCTGCCTTTAAATTGTCCCCAAATAACTATACTACATGACTCTCTTCCACACTTAGTGTTTCAGTAAATATTGTTTTTACTTTTGCAGGTTTTTTTTTTCCCTCTGTGGAAGGCAGATTGTCTTTTAATGATCGAACTTTTGATATTTTTAAATTGGCTTAGAAATATGTTTATAAACACGTTTGAAGTTTGTGTTTCTGAACTTTTCTTTTAAAAAGAGCCATGAAATTGCAACTGCTCTAGAAAGTCGGAGCCACAAGGTTCGGTATTCAGATTCAGTGGGAAATGGATCAATTATATTTTCCCTTTCAGGTACAGTACATTTGCTGTCTTAATTTTTCACAAGAATATGAGCATAAATTCTAATACTTTATAGTTAAGTCACTGTGTAACCCAAGAGGTTGTTTTGGGAGTGATAAGCCTGCAAAATTTTGTTCCTGCAAGAGATGATCATATAGTGAATTACAAAATGTCTTTTTAAGGCTATACTTGTTAAAGCTGAGCTGGCAGTCTAGCAGAGAGTGGGAAAAACCACTTTATAACTAAGATGAAAGTATAAATGGTCACTTCCCTAATAATTAGTAAAGTATTGCGTGTGCTGAGGCCAATTGTGCTTCAATGCTCAAAATCCATCCTTAAATGAGATTCTTTCCAAAAGCTTACATAGAGACCTTCAGGCTGAACATGGATTAGCCTCAAACTCATTATCTCTGCTCAAGACTGTACTCCAGGGAGAAGGAAAATATTTTTTAATATTTATTTTGTGCTTTGGCCACTTGACAGACATTATCTTATTAAATCCTGACAAACTTAGCAGAATTATTCCCCTGTTACAGAGGAGGAAACACGTTGCTTAAGATCATTTAATTATCCTACAGTTATGCAGTCACATTCCTTAGATTGTTTCTTACCTGTAACTTTTGAAGAGCTATTACCAAATCAAGTTTTCTTTCATTCTTATGGGTCTGACCAGAAGTGGTAGCTATCTGCTCATTGACTGTAATAATTTACATAATTCTTTATGTTCTGGTAAAAAGGGTTCTCCAACAAGGAGTAATTGAAGACTTCAGATTACCTTTGTTTAGTTGATTCCCAGCTTTAAAAAATTGTGTGGGAGCTTCTAGCTGCTGAACACGTGGAGGTGCCTGGAGGGTGAGGCAGGGGGCATTGGAGCCCTGGGCCTCTAACTACAATCCTCTGCCTCCTCGGCCTCTCCCCTCTGCCCGTTCCTGTCCTTTGTAAAAGACCAGTGTTAACAGCATGAAAATTTAACTTTGCAAACATAATCTTTTAACTAAAATCATACATTACCTTCATGTGGGCAGTGCTTTGGTATGAAATAAAAAATAACTACCTAAGTCATCCTGTTGTGTAAGAATTGTTACAGCTGTTTTTGCTTCTCATGTGCTTAGGAGCTAGAGGTATCTCATTATCTGTGTGGATTTTGTGGGGTTTTTCCCAAAGTTTGATCTTTAACACAAAGTCCAATTTTATATTACATTCGCCTTTCACAGGAGTTGCATTTTTATTGATGGATGCTAAAGAATGCATTATGTCAGCTGAAGAAATGTATCTAGCCAAAATTGAGAAGTTTATTAACATTCACCAAAATAGCTTTTTGGTTCTGTCTGCAGCCCTCCATGGGCCTGAAGAATGGAAACTGATGTTCAGGATTCAGCAGAGGTATGGAAGAAGGGCACCACAGACTGAATTTTTCAAACTGTAATTTGCTTTGCTTCTTAACTCTTTTAAAAAGGTGCTTGTGGGTTGCTACAAGGGAACTTTCTAGCAACTTTAATGTGTCATATTTAATGAAACATAGACCAAATAGCTATTCTGTGAACCAAAGTGACAAAGTTTTCTGAGTTCATAAAGATTTATGGGTTCTCCTACAATACCAAACACTATAGGGAACACTCTAGTAAGTTCCTGCTATAAAGCCACCTAAAACCCTCTGTGGAATAAAACAAAACACAAATAAATAACCAGGTAATAAACACCAGTTTTGTTCTCCTTTGTACTTATTTAAGAGAACAGAAGTCAGCAAATGACACGGTACATATAACTTATGGATTACTTTTCAGATTCATGGGCAGTAATTTACGAATACTTCCAGTCCACGACACAGGAAATGCAGTTACTCTTATGAGCACCATAGCTAAGGTGAGTCACTTGGACAAAATGGCACATTCACACACACATGTATTTACAGTTTTTTTTTATCTCCAATTACACATTCTCCTGGGTGTGACTAAAAAATACCTTCCTTCTTTTCCCTTCAGAGAAGTTGCTTCTCACACCTCAGTTTTATTTCTTATGCCATTATGTGCTTTTTAGTCATTCTGGACCAAAAGAAGTTAACCATACTTACATTGTGATGACAACACTGGTTATTTAATAGCTTCCTCAAAGCCAGAAATATTAATAGTGGTCAGCTTGTAATCACAAACTGTTGGGGGCAGATAGTATTTATGGAATGTTTAACTTCTTTTTAATGCTTGTCCTCCCCTGGGAAGTACTGCCCAGACAGCAGCATCTCGCCAGTTAGGTTTTCTTGTCTTTACACTTGGAACATACACCATTATACACTTTTTCCCTCCGCCATACATTGTTATTCAATTTCTTGGCTTACATGTTTGTGATCCCTTGAACACGGGGATCACATATTTTCCTATTATACTATGAAAATGTTTCAAAACGTTCATGGAAAAAATCAAGTTAAAAGGTATTTATTTGGGGAGCTGGCTCTGTGCCTACCTGCATTGCCAACACCTCATATGGGAGCCAGCTGAACGCTTCCAGTTCCACTCCCTCCTAATGCAGCTGGGAAGCAGTGGGACTGGAGCTGACTGTCGGGCCCTCGGCGCCCATGTGGAAGACCTAGATGAAACTCCTGGCTTCACTTTGCTAAGCCCCAGCTGTTGTGGCCATCGGGGGAGTGAACCAGCAGAGAAGCTGTCTCTCCTTTATGTGTGTATAACTGCTTTTCAAATAAACACATTTTTAAAAAGGTGTTTATTTTGGTGCAATAAAACTTTGAACTCCTTGCATTGTTTTCTCATACATTTTCCATGAACTTTTTCCAAGTATTCTGGTGTATATAGCACGCAATTAATCAAGAGAGATCTGTTGAGATAAATGGAGATTCTAATGTGGACCTTGGAAGGATTTTCTCATCCTTGGAACCGTGAGACCAACAGCATGTCAGAACTATTGAAACCACTTGAACAGAACTCTCAGAACACTCATCAGGGAGCATGGGATGACAGGGGGTGGCAGTTCCCCATCCTTGGGTGCTGAGGTGGTTGGGAGGCTGGGTGTGGCTTCTCCCCTTGTCACCCACCTTGCCCAGATATAGGAAGAAAAGGAAGGTGTGGAAACAGCGGTCTCACCTACTTTGCCCTAGTCCTAGACTCTTCCCATCCTATTCAACTGTGTAAACATCATCAAAAATAAAATAAAAAAAAAATCTGTTGAACAAATGAAAGGTTTTTTTTTTGATATATCCTGTAAATATGCCTTCTGTAAATAATGCTGTACATCTGTGTCTTCTTCCAGACGGCCTCCAAGCCATGCATCAATAACATCTGCTGTAGAATGGCCACAACCAAAGCTTACATTATCGAACAAAGTCCTGTTTGGAAAACCCTTCAGAAGATAAAACTGAATGGGGATCCAATTCACCCAAATTAAGAGTGTCAATTATAAATGTACTTTAGAAATAATCAGATCTGCTGAAGTAAAGTGTCAAATACATATTTATTTTACTTAAAAACAAATATACAATTAAAAATTATTTCATTTTAGCAATTTGGCTGGGTGATTTTTGTTTTAAAGATTTACTTATTTTACTTGAAAGTCAAGAGTTACAGAGGGAGAGACAGAGAGATCTTCTGGTTCACTCTCCAAATGGCCACAATGTCCACAGCTGGGCTGGTCCCAACCCGGGAGCCAGGAGCTTCTTCTGGGTCTCCCATATGGGTGGGTGCAGGGTCCTAAGGATTTGGGCCATCCTTTACTGCTTTCGCAGACCATAAGCAGAGGGTTGGATCTAAAGTGGAGCAGCTAGACTCTAATTGGTGCCTATATAGGATATTAGCATTTGCAGATGGAAGATTAGTGTGCTATACCACTGCACCAGTCCCATGGATAGTTCTTTCAAAAATATGTAGACAATGCATACATATAAAACCCAGATGTAGTTTCTTAAAGATACAAATTACATGGACAAATATTTTGTAGGAAACAAAAACACAGTGTTTTCTGAATAGCACCTTAAAGGAAGCACTACACACACATGCACACAGTTAGGTATTATATATATAATTAACTATATATATATATATATATATAGAGAGAGAGAGAGAGAGAGAGAGAGAGAGAGAGAGAGAGAGAGAGAGAGAGAGAGGTATTCCACAGAGCAGCCAGTTTTTGTTTTTTGTTTCTTTTGATTAATCTTTACAGACGTTCCTCTCTGTAACTTCTGCTGGTGAGGAAGGGGGTTTTGCTCTAAGGTTTCTGTTAAGGCAGGGAATCAAAGAGGCTGAGAGAGGTGATCAGCTAGCCTGAACTCCCAGCTTGCTGCATTCCTAACAGTGCCTGTGACATCCATCCTGATACTAGGAGTGCCAACAAGTTACCAGCATCTAACTAGAGCAAAACGTTTATTAGTCATTTCCCTAAACTCACTATGGTTAATGAAGACAATTCAACCTTAAATGAGGTTTAATACAAAATTGCGAGCTTGTATTGGGTTTTCAAAATTAGTGTTTAAAATACACATAATGGGCATTGTTTACCATAGAGTTAACTTTCTAAAAACAAAACTACCTATCCACAGTGTGTCACTATAGAAACTAATGAGAGAAACTACATTTATCTTCCTAGCAGTAACTTTTACAAACATTTTTTACAAAGGTATTAAATACGTAATAATGGAGAATACAATATTTTCTTAGTTTTAATTTATGAAGTGGAACTTTTACTTTATCCCAGCGTTTTCTTCAGAGGTAGACTTTGTTTTTATTTCAATTAGTTCTTCTACTCGAGCCAGAACACTTTCAATCAAATCAAATGTGAAAAGGGCTGAATGTAGGACCTGGAATGCCAAGAAAAATGAGTGTTACTGATTCTGTCTTTGAAAGAGCAAAGCCTCAGGCGGGGCAGCTGGGGACAGTCGCGTCACCTGCAGCTGCATTTCAGGAGGCACGTTTGGCATCTCTTCTCCACCAACAGTTAGAGAGCAGAGCTCCTTGGACTTCTGTCTCTCTACAACAAAAGAAAAACACAACATGGCACAGTTAGCCACTAAAGTCCTCGGATTTCAACAACACATTTGTAAACTACTTTCACCGTTCACTGACCTCCAACTGAGTTTGCCCAGGCAGTTAGCCTAGCAAATAAGATACCAAACAAGACAGCAGGATGCCACATCAGAGTGCCTGGCTTTGTGACTCTGAGAGGCACCAGGCGACAGCCAGCTCACGTGACTGGGTCCTTGCTATCCAGGTAGGACACCTGGATTGGGTGTCCAATTCTGATCCCAGCCCGGCCCCCACTGCTGAGGCATCTGTGTAGTGAAGCCGTGGATGGGAGCTGTCTAATCCCCAGGAATATCATCATTTGTGCTGGTTCTGTAAACTTCTGAGTCTTATTATTCAACAATCCAGGGCATATTTAAATCAAACCATAGGATAATACTAAAATTACATAACATGTAAATGAATACTTCATATAAACAGCATTATTTTGGCATGCTTAAGACCATACAACTTTTCCCCGCCAGTACATAATCAAACAGAAAGCAAGCACACTAAAAAAGACAAGATGTATAATACGGATTGAACATCCCTACCTGAAATCTGAAATCAGAGTTTATGAGTTACACTGGCAAGTAAATGATTTCAGATCCTGCAGCATTTTTGGATTTTGGAAATTTTTTGAGATTAGGGGAATTTAACTGGTAAGCCTATGCAAATATATCAAAAATAACAACAGTACTGATAAAAACGCTCTAAAATCTAAGACATTTCTGATTGCAAGCATTTTGAATAAAGGATATTCCACCTGTACTGCCTAGTAAAAAAACACTGTATTAAGTAGGGGAGAAATATTATTATTACAGAGTCACTGACTTAAAAGTCTTTTTTGTAATTTGTACATATTTACTTAGGGCTAAGCTAGGGTGATCCAGTAATGCCAAAGAAAGTACAATGGTTCCCATACTAAAATTCCTGAAACAAGAGTAGATTCTTAAGTATAGCTAAGACCTTACAATGGAATAGTCTTCAATCTGGCTTAAAATTCAGTAACTCTGTCTCAGTGTTAGTGTTTTCAGATCTACAAATAAACTTAAAAAAAGAAAAACTAAGCTGTTGGTCCTTTGTTTAGTATAAAATGAACAAATACAACATAAGACACATTCTTAATGTTGATTATTCAGTTTCCAAAATTTAGGTTAATTTTTAGATCTCACTGAAAATTGTACATTACCAACCTTGGCTGTTTTCTTGACTGTTTTTAATTTCTGCTTCATAATGTGCTTTTGACATGTTAAGTCCCATGTGCAGTGGTTTTAAGAAATTATTCTCAATTTTTCCAAGTTCTGTCCATACTCCAGTCTGTTCAGAATTGATGAGAAATCAATTGGTTTAACATTTCTTGATTGGCTACTTTTACAAAAACAGCATTAACGGTGAGAGAAACAATAATGAAACCTGGTCCTTTGTTTTTCAAGACAGAGTTCACTAATAGATTTATTTCTAGATCTGTTATGTGAATAACCATCAAAGCAAAGCACTGACTGAAACAAAAATGTACTCAGGGCACCATGTTCATTAATGCATCACTTGGCTATTTTATACTTCGAGATCTTTTTCAAATAAGGTTTTTACATGAAAAAATATTTGGTGATAATTCACAGTCTGAAACTTTTCTCCTCCCCTGTAAGCCAACAACAGTTCTCCCGTGTGTATGTTTTCACTCGACCTTTCACACTGACACCCTGCCTCAGACTGAGTTTTGGAATATTTCTTCCCTTCCCTATTGATGGAAACTTTCCTAACAAGAAGCCCAATTGGAGATTTTTCTTCAAAGAGCATTTGCTAGTAAACACTAAAGAAGGGGAGTCACGAAGTATTAAGTTTTTAAAAATTTAAAAATCCATTTTCATCATTTCCAGAAAAATCCTACAAAATAAAATAGGTTTCAAAAACAAAACCAAAAGACCTTGGAAGGAATTCTTTTCTTAGAAAAGAAATGGGTCACTTGAAAATCCCTGTTGCAGTGAATTAATTTTGAACCAAGTACTATGCATTTTGATATTACAGCCCTCCAAATAAAATCTACACATACCTACATCAAATAATTGATAATGCCATTACACATATCCTTCTCTCTCACTCTGCTAACAAAGTAAAGTTTTAGGGAATTAGTAGGTAAGAACCCAAAACCTCAAAAATACATATATTCTCTCACTTAGCAACTACCATCTTATTCTTGGGAAGTAAAAGACATATGTTAAAATGAACCTACTGCAAAGTTTTGTGTTTTTTCCCCCCTTTTAAATAATGTTTAGGGGCTGGTGTTGTGGCGTTACAGGTTAAGCCACCACCTGGGATGCCAGCATCCCACGTGGCCTCCACTTCATGTTCTGACTTTGATCCAGCTCCGTTAATGGCCTGGGGAACAGCAGTGGTGGATGGCCCACATGCTAGACTCCTGAACCCAAGTGGGAGACCCAGACGAAGCTTCTGACTGTTGGCTTTGACCTGGTCCAAACCTGGCCACTGCAGCTATTTTGGAAGTGAACCAGCCACCTCCCTCCCTCTCTCCCTCCCTCTCTCTGATAAGCCTTTCAAATAAATAAATCCTTTAAAGGAAAAAAAAAGGTTTAACTAATAAAAACTGGAATTCATGAAAATATTTCATAGGAGATTGGTAAATACACTGTTATATTCAAATATGGGAAAACTCCACAACCATTATTGTTCTTCAGTGCATAGAGATGGATGGGAAGGGCTAAAGGAGTACAATTCCCATAGTACGATCTGATTCTTGGCAATAAGAAGCAGCAATGTACTGAGGATGGAGGTCCTGATAGCTCAGGACACACAGTGGTGCTGCCTGAGCTTTTTTTCCACTTGTTTATCCTGATTTTTAAATGAAGAGCTTGTTTTAGCTGTACAATAGTTAATTCTTTAAAATACACTTTTAAATAGTTTTCTCAACCTCTCATGGAAAATGTCATGTATGGTTGTACAGCAGGAGCTTCCTTCGGTAGTGGCACAGAGCGCAGGCATACTGCCCTATCGTGTATACCTGCTGCTTGCGTTTCTGCGCTTCTCTCGACCCTCCCTTTCCCCTGATTTCTAAACCACTTCTGCCTTGACTTTCAAACCTTCAGGTGAATGCATTACTACTGATGGCTTTCAAGGCTAGACAGCTCTAGCATGAAGAAGAAAAACAGCCTTCTATCTACACTTCTCTTTGGCAAAAAGAAATCTCCTGTTTTATATACACTTTTTAAAAATAAAAGATTAGATATGGTTGAAGTTCCCTTCATTGAAAAGGTAGCCATGATATAAAACTTGAGTTCTACATTAAAACATATGACAAATTTTCATGTTTCAACAACTTTGTGAATCCCACATTTTTGAAAACTATGTTGTAGTTCTAATTCTTTAATAGGTATATGGCATTCAATTATACACAATTTATCCTGTCAACTCATCGTTTAGTGTTTCAAACAACACAGCACTACAACTGCTATCCTTTTAACTGGGTGAAAGTTTTCTAGGGTAACATTTTTTACTATGAGCCACAGTAAGAAATATTTTCATGTCACAACACACTTATTCAGTCAAAACCAAAGCCTCCCCCAGATCCTTTCTATATATTAGATATAATTTTATTAACAAATACACTGCAGAAAAGCCCTTAACCTGTACACGTGCTTTGATAATCGTGTAGCTCGTGCCACTGTCAACATACTTCCACAGCCCCAGAAACCCCTTCGTGCCGCTTCACAGCTAACTTTCCCCACCTCCAACAACTTCTAATCTTATTCTTACTTATATGATTTTCACCTTTTCCAGAAAAAATGGAATTAGAAATGTAGTCCTTTTTGGTGGAAATTTATAATATTCAAAAATTCACATGGAAAAGGAGAAACAGTGGCTAAAAACAATTCTGTGGAAGAACGAAGTTGGCAAACTCATGTTCTTTACCATAAAGTTATAGGAATCCAGATAGTATTGGTAAAAGATATCATTGGAACAGAACGCACTTCAAAATTAGACCTATACTTACTTGCCTAATTATTTTTTTTAAAATAAAGATGTCAAGATAATCTGACAAGGATAATAATTTCAACTAAGAGGAAATCCTCTCAACTCATATCTCATACCATTCAGTTACAGGTAGGATTATAGACCTACCTGTAAAAACCTAAAATTCTATGGCTTCTGCAAGAAAACCTAGGATATTCATTTTATAATCTCGGGTTTAACAAAGGGTAGAATGAGTCAGTAAAGAGTAAAATTAATAGGCTACAAATAAACTGTTTAAAAAAAAACCCACTAAAATAATAAAATCACAAGCCATACAATAGAAAAAAAAAGTGTGCAAAACCAAACCTCACAAGACTTGCACCCAGAATACAGGAAAACCTTTTCTTCATAAAAGTTTTCTAGTTTTGGCTCTTGACCCCTTTCTTCCTCCCAGCCCCTGATCTTTTGTTCTTTCTCAGGGGGTCTGCTAGCGGCCCTCCTTCCAACAGCCCCTGCCCCGTCCTTCTCAGTCTCATGCACAGGGTTGTTTGCACAGGCGCAGTAGATACAAAGACTTGCTCTTTGTCTTCATCTGCTGTTCACATGAATCAAGTCTTTAGCATTCTGCAGCCAATGATAAAAAATACTTAAAAATCTAAGAAACAAAAAAAAAGTTTTCTAGTCTGAAATATTTTGTGTTAAGATTTGAGTTTTCTGTTTCTTGAAAGTATGGTAAAATCATGTGAGGCTAGCTTCGCTTGTGGAAATTTTATAAGGTTGTATGTTCTAAAAATTCAACTATACTGAAGTGTTCAAAGTTATTGTATGCTCTCATGTAACTTTCTTACTATTTTTCAGTATTTGTACTTTTACTCTGTTAATTAAAATACTATGTAACTACTTTCAAAATCAGTCCTTCCAGAAATTTACTTCATAATTTTCAGTCTTCTTTTCTAACATAAGCATTTCAAATTAAAATTTTTTTCTGAAACTACCTATGTAGCTACGTCCCACAAATATATCCTTATTTAGTTTTAAATAAACAATGTTGTCTTTATCATAAATAAATACTGCCTCATAAAATTATTTCATGCATAATATATGGGAGTTCTCCAGCTTTGCTTAATTAAAACTGTAGACAGACAGATTTTTGGCTGTGAGCAGAGCTGGCCCCACCCCCTAGTAATGCACTTATTAAAAAAACCAAATACCGCACATGATTTTGATTTGGCCCACATGTTGATAAACAATAAGACACAAGGGTGCTGTCCAATGCCATTGAGGGAACTGAATTTTCAACTTGTATCATTTTAAAATTTAAGCAATCACATGTGGCCACTCTATGCTATACTGGGTAGTACAAATCTAGACATTCTCAAAATATTAGATCCTTGGTTGTTTTCCATGGCAATAATTTAACAGACAGCCCACAGTTATGAAACTTCAGGTAATAAACAAATGCCAAAATCAGGCTGAAGACAATTCCTCGCACATTTGATTCAGTGTTTCACTAATCTTTCATGCGGTGATCAACTGTCTCTCTATTTAGAAGCCCGTGGGAGTGCACTGCTGTATAGATTCTATTTTCTGGAGCAGGCATTTAGCCTGGTGGTTAAGCTGCTGGACTGGAAGACATGGCCCACACTGGAGTGCTTGGGTCCCCTTCCCAGCTCTGGCGTCTCACTCCAGCATCAACATAGGCTGAGAGGCAGCTGTAATGGCTCCAGTCATAGGTTCCTGCCACACTGTGTGAGCCCTGCATTGCATCACCCCACTCCTGGCTGCAGCCCTGTCCATTCCAGGGATCCGGTGAGTTAACCAGCAGATGGGAGCCCTCTCTGTCTCTCAAAATTAAACAAACAAACAAAAATACTTAATTCCTTCTGTTATGTTAATGTTACCACTACTTAAGAGGAACAATGTTACAATGAAAATGCTTAATTTACTCCGTATTGTCTAGAAAAGGTAACAAGATTTTAAAATTATAAGGATTACAGATTTGAATGCTCACAAATGTTTGCCTTTAATTTTAAATCCAAACAAACTCAAAGAGGTAATATTCTTTTGAAATAATTTGTTATAAGGTTTAGCTGGCTAAGCATTTAAAAAAATCTGACTGTAGCCTATTTCACAAAAGAAAATGTTAAGTGGTCCTAGATCACAATGAACTGTGCTGCCAGAAGAGAGAGGGGGGTTTGCAAAGGCTACAATCAACAAGTGAGAATGAAGAAATGAAAAGGACCCGGGCAAGACCCAGCTTTCCTCTTGCTTCTAATCTTCTTAAGTAATTTATTTGGAAGGCAGAGTGATTGAAAGAGGGAGACACGGAGAAAGACCTTGCTTTGTTGAATCACTCCCCAGTTAGTCCTATCGCCAGGACTGTGTGGACCAAGTGGAAGCCAGGAGACAGGAACTCCATCTGGGTCTCCCTATGGATGGCAGGGGCCCAAGCACTTGGGGTATCATCTGCTGCTTTCCCAGGTGCAACAGAGGGTGTTGGATGGGAAGTGTAGCAGCCAGGACTGGAACCAGGACTCTGGAAACAGTTGCTAGGCTGCAAGTTGGCAGCTTAACCTCCTGTACTTCAACCATGAGCAATGTTTGCACCTGTCTTCTTATTTATGAGTCATGTTGCTGAACTTCTACCACTTTATAGTATTAATGAATTACTATCACCTGAAATTATATGGCCCTGCAGATACCATACAGCAATATTTTTACCTTGGAAAAACAATCTGAAAATGAGAACCCAGAATGTGGTTATATAGAATAATATGTTCATGTTATGTTTTATGTGTAAGGTATTTCTAGAATTTTTTTCCTAAATGAGAATGTATCACACATTAAATTTTTTAAAGCTCCTGATACTGCCTGTGGTCTCTGTAATCTCATTGGTTCCTCCCATCCCTGCTTTTACTGTACTCATTACAACTACAAATCAAAAACGGATGTTAAGCAGTCAAGACAGAAGGTAAAGGACAGAGAGAACAATTAATGGCCTTTGCATTAGAATAAGTAGTCGCAATTCAAAACAATTAGCTATAAGTATCCACCAAATAAAGAACATTAAGTATAAAAACGATACTGCATGTTTTGTCCTAAGTATAAATCACTTTTCTGGGATTGTTGTGGGACTGCAAGTGAAGATGCTGCCTGTGATGCTGTTTGAGTCCTGGCTGCCCCACTACTGATCCAGCTCCCTGCACATTTGCCTGGGAAAGTAGCAGATGGCATGAGTGTTTGGACCCCTGGGCTCTCGTAGGAGACCCAGGTGGGGTTCCAGGTTTCTGGCTTTGGCTTGGCTCTGCCATAGCCACTGTGGTCATTGCAGATAGCAACAGTAGATGGACAATCTTTTTCTCTGCCCATCAAGTAAATAAACTTTTTAAAATTAAAACTAAGTTGCATTTTTAAACTGTACTTTTTTGAGATACACTATAAGAGTTTTTCTATTAACATAATGATTATGCATATTTATAAGCTGGATTTAACAGTGGAGATACAGGCAAAATTTATACTACAAGATTCAAGAAAAGTTATGTGACTGAGTGTGGGAAAAGGTGTCGGTAACTCAGGCAAGGAGATAAAGGACCGCCACAGCAGAGAGAGGAGAGCACGGCTTGTGCAAAGACAAAGTCAAATGACAGCAGGTGAAACACCAGAAAAAGAAACGCACTATTATTCAATTATCAGTTACTTTGTTGTCTTTGTATTTGAATGATTCTGTTCCTTTTAAAATCTGCCTGTACACCTTTCCAAATGCTCTTCAGTTTTTATCTCAGCATACTTAAGCAGTCAAAAATAGTTACTGGTAGGAGTCCTTTTCAATACAAGATCCTAAAATTCAGCATTACTGGGGTGTCATTTTGTTTCTCCTTTAACCAAGATTCCTAAGACCCAGAAGCTGTTATTTAGCAGTTATGCACAGTGGACAGATTTGTCTCTCCTTTGTATAGATGGCTGCCTGAGAGCAATGTTTCCATGATAAACAGCTCTTAAGCTGCTTCAGGAATGTCAGGTTGCCATCGTGAAACCGGTTTTTTTTTTTTTTTTTTTTTTTGCTAATTTATCTGTTACAGTATTAATTAGAAAAATTTACATGGCAACTGTTTGGAGTACTTGATCTCTAACAGAAATTTTTGAAAAATCATTCAATCACAATGTAATGCCGGGAAGGTGGTTGTGCAATGCCAACTGCCAAATGAAAGTGAAGCCTCCTGTGGAGATCAGGGCAGACAAGTGCAAAATGCCAAGCCGCCATCCTGTCTTCCCTACAGAGACAGAGATCCATCTGCTGCCCCTGCATTATAGTGTGCTCCAGGTCTAAGAAATCTAGCATGAACAACCCCTTTCTTCCTGTCCAGCGAAAAAGAGAATCTTTTTAAAAATGTATTTATAAATTTGAAAGAGCACCAGAGACAGAGAGTCACCCAGCCAGCAGACAGATCTTCCATCCATGATTCACTCCCCAAATGGCTGAATTGGCCAGGGCAGGAAGGCTGAAGCCAGGAGCCAGGAATCCCATCCGAGCGTTACACACAGCGGGCAGGGGCCCCACCTCCTCAGGCTATCACCTGCTGCTTTTCCAAGCACATCAGCACAAACGTGGCAGTGAGCACTTGAACCAGCAGTCTTGCACAGGATGCTGGCACTGACAGAGATGGTTTAACTCACTGTACCACAACACCAGCCCCTGATTATTCCCCAAGCAGCCTTTTTCTGATTGCTAAAATTATAATAAGCAAGCTTAAAACTCAAAACGTACAGTTTACTCTGTGGACACCTTTCTTAGAGCCCCAGTCTCTACTGCAGAATTTTTGTCATATTTTTTTCTACTTTTATTAGAAGTTCCAGTAGCAGTCAAGATTTAGTTGGATTTCAAAGTTGTGGCTACACTGTCAAGAGGAAGGGAATTTACTACTTTTGCCAGAAACTTTTCACTCAGAATAATGATTTACCTAATTAGAAAACAATAATCTCTGACATCTCTATTATTTTCTTAAAAAAAAATAGTAACTCGTGATTCAGACAGTTACAGCTAATAAAAATGACATATACAGAAAAAAAAATTATTAGAACAGGGCAAGTAAGGGAAGTAAAAAAATATATACAATTTTACTGTATGACAAGTTACCCTCAAATAATTTTCTATTTATTGAATACTTCTAATAATGAGCTATTAAAAAAAAAATTCAACTTCCTAAACATTAACCAAAAGGTGCTGTGAACAAATTCAGTTTCAGCACTGAAAATGCTGTCACGCTGCATGATAAAATCTGGAGCAACAGATGACTTATTTTATACAGCTCAGATTTGAGTCACAGGCAGAAGAAACTGAACAGGACCCCTGGCTGGAATGCTGAGTTCCACAAGGACACCAAATCCTGCCAGGCGAAGCAATACCTCCGGCAAGAGAGCAGAGGTGGACCTGCTTCTGCTCCAGCTGCCTGATATGGGGCTGCAAAGGCAGCAGAAGATGGCCCAAGTGCTGGGGCTCCAATCCCCAATGAGGGCGACCGGCGTTCCTGGCTTTGGTCTGGCCAGCCCTGGCTATTTGTGGGGGAACTAAACCACACGATGGAAGATAAAACTGTTTCTCTGTCACTGTGCCTTTCTTTTCTTTTTTTTAAGATTTTTATTTTATTTTTATTAAAAAGTCAGATATACAGAGAGGAGGAGAGACAGAGAGAAGGATCTTCTGTCCGATGATTCACTCCCCAAGTGAGCCGCAACAGCTGATGCTATGCCGATCCGAAGCCAGGATCCAGGAACCTCTTCTGGGTCTCCTGCGCGGGTGCAGGGTCCCAAAGCTTTGGGCCGTCCTCGACTGCTCTCCCAGGCCACAGGCAGGGAGCTGGATGGGAAGTGGAGCTGCCAAGATTAGAACTGGTGGCCATATGGGATCCCGGGTGTGCAAGGCGAGGACCTTAACCACTGTGCCACTGCGCCACTGCGCTGGGCCCCACTGTGCCTTTCAAATAAATGCTTTAAAGAGAGAGAGAAAAGAAAAAAACTCTGAGTGGGGTCTGGCCTTGTGTTGTTGTGGGTGAGGCTGCTGCCTGCAATGCTGGAATCCCATATGGACACTAGTTTGAGACCTGGCTGCTCTGCTCCTATCCAGCTCCCTACTAACGTGCTTGGAAAGCAGTGGAAGGCAGTCCAAGCGCATGGGCTTCAGCAACCACAGCGAAGACCCAAATGAAGGTTTAGCCTCACTCAGCCCTGGCCATTGTGCTCACCTGCAGAGTGTCCCAGCAGACAGAAGATCTCTCTCTCTGAGTTTCAAAGAAACACATAATTATCTTTTAAAACGGAAAGAGAAAGAGGGAGAGAGCGCGGGCGAGCAGAGGTATAACAGGAAAATACAGGGAAGGGTGGCTGGATCCGGGATGACAAATGCTCCAAGGAATTGACTGTAGGTTTCAGAGCAGTCGCTGGCACTTTTCCCAGCTTTTGTAGCTGGGTAACATATTAAATGTCAGTTTACATAAACATTAATAAAAAAAATGAGATATTCCTTATGCATTTAAAACATACTTACAGTTTCACCAAATAAGTCACTTACTTGGTTGTCATTTTCATTATCTTTGATAACCAAATATCTCAACAAATTTAATGATGCCATAATCCTGTTAATTAAACACAATTTTGTTACGTATATAGTGTCATTAGTCAACAGCAATATATGTGGAAATCTTGAGCATACTTTTATGTTTTGTTTGCCATTAACACACTATTCATTTTACCGTCTGGAGTAGTAATAATACTCCTTCCCATTAAAGCTCACAGAGCGCAATTGTGAAAATCACTACTTTTTTTCCTCAACAGAATCTTGTTGTCTTAGTATCTGACAGCATCACCTCTTGTTTTTTGAATTTTAAGATTCCTTTCATAAATGTACAATCATTTCTCAACATGTACCTTGGTGTACTAAAGTGAAATTCTGAGTTTTACATTTTGAAAAATGGATCTGTAAAACCAAGCAGCAGTGCCCTAGCAGGCCAATTTCTGCACAGCCCCAGGCGTGTGATTCTGAGCTTTCCCTCAGACGACACAGGCGCAAACCTCCGTGGACTAGTGATGGCGCCAGAGGTGCAAAAATCATAGTGCTGGTCAACCATCTGGCAAGGATGATTTTAAATTCTGTTCATTTACCAAATCACGTACACAGCAGAAGTGCAATATAATTTCCTAAGTTAACCCCACAGATCATGCAATCACAGGAAATCATGTCTTTACTGGAGCAGGTCAGCATCTATCATCTGAACTTGAGTAACGGTCATCTCACCTGTCGGAGTGCTGCAGTAAGTCGGTTTCAGCTCCCTCAGGGAGGGAGAGCACCAAATCCAGCAGAGAAATCAGGTGTGGTCCTGTAAACCATTTATTGGCATGTGCTTTCTGAAAAGCAGAAGAAAAAATCACAGATTTCAAATAACAGCTTGGTAAGTCATGTGCTTTTCTGATACTTCTGCACTACCAAAAATAAACTGTTCTATACTGTAAAAATATATTTTAACTTTCATATATTCACTTTTTAAGCAACCAGAACAAATCCTGCCAGCTTGAGAATATTAGTGCTCTCTCTGTTTTCTATTTGGAGTTACTAAGTTCTCAAATCCATGAGAGTTAAATTTCCATTTTTCATTAATTTTTCTAAGTATAAGGAAAAAAAGCCACCACCAGCTGAAATAATTAAGATAATTTAAGCTTACAGGTCATAAAAATTTTCAAGGTGAGGATCAATATTTTGTGTAGAAGGTAGAGTGCTGCCTGGGATGCCTGCACCTCCCACTGAAGTGCCTGGATCAATTCCAGCTTCCTGCTGCGGCACACGCTGGAAGATAGCAAGCGACAGCTCAAGGACGTGGGATTCTGACACCCATGTGGAACACTGCACAATTCCTGGCTCCTGGTCAGGCAATGGGAGCAAAGCAGCAAGGGGAGAACTCCTGCCCTTCATCCTTCACCCCATCTAATTTTTAAATAACCTCTTCTAAAAAAAGTAGAAACAGGGCCCAGCGGCGTGGCCTAGTGGCTAAAATCCTTGCCTTGAACGCGCCTGGGATCCCATATGGGCACTGGTTCTAATCTTGGCAGCTCCACTTCCCATCCAGCTCCCTGCCTGTGGCCTGGGAAAGCAGTCGAGGATGGCCTAAAGCTTTGGGACCCTGCACCCATGTGGGAGACCCAGAAGAGGTTCCTGGCTCCTGGCTTCGGATCGGCATAGCATCGGCCGTTGCGCTCACTTGGGGAGTGAATCATCGGACGCAAGATCTTTCTCTCTGTCTCTCCTCCTCTCTGTATATCTGACTTTGTAATAAAAATAAATAAATCTTTAAAAAAAAGTAGAAACAGGGGAAAATAAATTAATTGCAGAGATAAAAAGACTCTGGGGCAAAACTCCACATGTAATGAATTCTATATATGAATATTTTACCCTAGAAAACAAACTGGCAGCTAATACACAGGCAATGCTCTTACCTTAAATGATATATCAATTTGATTTTTGATATTTTGAATAATAAAGGCCTCCACACCGGAGTGATTACTGGTATTCAGTAAGCACCTTCAAAGCAAAATCACAACACAATAGGAAATTATTTCTACGCTGCATTATAGTCACTCCGCATATATTTGCAATAATTGAACATGCCAGGAACAGGCGTCAGTGTAACAACCTAAAAACTGTCCAAATTATTCTCTCTTAAAAGTAGAAAAATGTTGTTTGGATCACCTTAATTATAAAGAAAAGAAACTAGCTTAAGAACAAAGATTCCTTGTAAAAATACAAACAAACAAAAGAGCAGGAAATCTGGTATGAGAACTAAGTACTGAAATTTCATAAACCCCCAGCGCCTATAAAACTGTACTACATAATACAATGTAAGCAACAATAAATAGAAAAAAAAAAAAAAACCTCTCTGACTCTAATAATTGAAATGATGACACTATCAAGAATGCTGATATTTGAAATTTTTTGCAATTACTTTGAATGGGGCTGATCTTGTAAGTCCTTTCTCAGACACAAAGATGCTTGTGTATACAAAGGCCACTCATTTTTGTGTGTTAACTTTATATCCTGTGGCCTTGCCAGAATGAATCCCAATAGTCTGTTAGAACCATTTGGCCTCCCCTTCATATGAAGAATGACATCTACAAACAGGGCCAGCTTGACTTCCTCCTTTCCAATTTATATCCCTTTGGTTTCCTTGTCTTGCCTAATAGCAATGGCTCATTCAGGACTATGCTGAATAGCAGTGGTTAGGGCGGGCATCCTTATCTGGCTCTGGGTATTAGTGGAAACACTTCCAACTTTGCCCATCCAACATACTGCCTTGATTGTGTTAAAGAAATGTTTCTTCTATACTTAAGGTTTCTGCAATTTAGGGAAATTATGGTTGATCAAATTCTCTGCATCTATTGAGATAATCATATGGTTTCCATTTCTCAGCTTGTTAACGTGGTATATCACACTTAATGATTTGTGCATGCTGAACCATCTCTGCACACCAAGGATCAATCCCTCCTGGTCAGGGTGAATGGTCTTTCTGATGTGTTGCTGGACTCAATTAGCTAGCATTTTGTTGAGGATTTCTGTATCTATATTCACTGGGAATACTGGTTTATAGTTCTCTTTGTGACATCTTTTTCTGCTTTTCTAATTAAAGGGATATTGGCCTCATAAAAGGAGTTCGGGAGGAGTTCTTCCAATTGTTCTGAATGGATTGTGAAGAACTATAATTCCTCTTGAAAGGTTTGGTAGGATTCAGCAGCGAAGTCATTTGGTCCTGGATTTTAAAAAAATTTATTTTCTGGGCCCGGTAGCATGGCCTAGCAGGTAAAGTCCTTGCCTTGAACGCGCCTGAATCCCATATGGGCACCGGTTCTAATCCCGGCAGCTCCACTTCCCATCCAGCTCCCTGCCTGTGGCCTGGGAAAGCAGTCGAGGACGGCCCAAAGCTTTGGGACCCTGCACCTGCGCGTGGGAGACCCGGAAAGAAGTTTCTGGATCCTGGCTTTGGATCGGCGCAGCACCGGCCATTGCAGTCACTTGGGGAGTGAATCATCGGATGCAAGATCTTCCTCTCTGTCTCTCCTCCTCTCTGTATATCTGACTTTGTAATAAAAATAAATAAATCTTTAAAAAAATTTTATTTTCTAAATTGAAAGACAGGACAAGAACTACACAGAGAAGAAAAGGGTTTCCTGTTTGGGTGCACAGACTCAAGCACTTGGGCCATCTTCTGCTGCTTTCCCAAATTAGCAAGGAGCTGGTTTGGAAGTGGAGCAACTGGACTCAAACTGATGCGCTTATGGGATGCCAGCATCACAGGTGGAGGCTTAACTTACTACACCAAGATTCTTGTTTCCCATGGGCTTTTCTTCATTACTAATTCAGTCTATCCCAATTACTGGTCCACTAATGCTGTCGATAGCATCATGACTCAAGTTTAACGAGATTGTTATGTGCCTAGTAATTTACATGTAGTCTAGATATTTCCAATTTAATGGCATAAAGCTGTTTTTAAGAATTCTTGATGATTCTTTGCATTTTTGTGAGTCCCTCATATTTCCTTTCTCATCTGATTCTACTGATTTATGTTATTAAGACAACTTTCCAAATCACTGACATTACTTATCATTTTTTTTTTAGCTTCAATTTTGTTTATTTCTTCTCTAATTATCTCTTTCTACTAATTTGGGTTTGGTTTGACATTTGTCTAGATCTTTGAGATGCACTGATAGATCATTTATTTGATATGTGTCTAACTTCTTGACACAGGCAGTATTCCCATCAATTTTCCTTCTTCCACTGCTTTTGCCATATACTGTAAATTCTGGTATACTTTGCTGTTACTTTATTCCTTTTGATTTCTTCTATGAACCACTGTTTATTCAGTTGTATGCTGTTCAGTCTCCATATATCTGCATATTTTCTGCAATTTCTTGAGTTGCTGGTTTCCAGTTTTATTCGTTGATGATCAGAAAAGATACATGGTATGATTTCAATTTTTGAATTTCATGGCCTGTTATTTGGTCTATTCTAGACAAGGTTCCATAAACTGATAAAAAGGATGCAATTTTTACATATATTAAGTCTATTTGATCCATGGTACAGATTAGCTCACTAGTTTCTTGCTGAGTTTTTGTAGTCAATCTGTTCACTCACGAGAGTGGAGGATTTAGGTCTCCCATTTCTACCATCATGGACTTTGTGTCTCTCTTACATCCATTAGTGACTGAAATACTGCCTTGGGTGCATATACATCTACTATGGTCTCTCCTTGTAGAATCAATTACTTTAATCATTATGTAATCCCTTCTGCATCTTTTAATAATTTTTATGTTAAAATTATTTTGTCTGATATCAGAGTGGCTACACTTGCTCGTTTTTTCCTTTGTGTTGGCATGGGTTATCTTTTTCCATTATTATTTGCAGACTGTGTTTATTTTTTTCTTGTGAGGTATGCTTCTTATAGGCATCAAAAACACAGGTCTTGTTTAACCCACTCAGCCAGTCTACATCTTTTGATGGCAGAGTGCAGGCCATTTGCATTCAGGTTTCTTATTGGAAGGTACCGACTTGGACTTATCATTTTAACATGCATACTTTCATTCTTTGTTTTAAATTTCTTCTAGATTACTTTTTTGATTATGGTAATTATTAATGTAGCACATCTGTAAGCATCACTTATAGGGCAGCTGTTGGTCTGACTGATTTCAACTGTGAAAAATGGAATAATGGAGATTATTACATATGTAAAGAACATATAAATTTTTGATTTATATGTTTTATTTATATTTCAACTCATCAAAATATAAACTATAATTTGTATGTATTTGTATAAACTCATCTCCATCAAACTCAGCTAAGAGAACTTATTACAATAAGGTTTCCAGCTAGAGTTGAATTAAACACAAGACATGCTGATACATAGTATCCTGGAATAATTACATGTTAAGTTGGTTTTCAATGAATCATACACTTACCAATTACCCATGTCTGATACATACCTAAATAATGTGTATTTGCCTTGTGAATCCAGCTTGTTAATATAAAGCTGAAGCATAGCTAAACCTTTTTTCCTCTAAAAGGAATAAATGATAGTTATATAAGATATAAAAAATTTTGTTATTTATCAAAATTGATTACTGCAACTAATTATTATTTAGTCCAAAAACACTTACATACCAATGTCTCAATTGGGCACAGGGTCATTACTTTGACTAAACCCTAGAAAAAAAAAATGAACTCAGATATGTTACTATATTAACTGCAAACAAATAAGCAATTATCAATCAAAAAACTGTAGGTAGGATAAAAGTGAAGTAAATGTGTTTTTCTCCGAACCTTCATTCTAGCATTCCATGCCTACTGCATGGCTAACTACAATTGGTTTTTTAAATAACACTCAGTTTAGTATTACAAAGTGAACTTAAAAACAAATGCTATCTTTAATTATTGCTTAGAGTGGTAAGAAAATGAAATCAAACATATAGAAATATAATCCATTCAGTAAAAATAAACAAGCTTAACCTATGAGTAGGTCTTCAAAATGTTCATATAAAATACACCATCATAAAACTATACACAAATTCCAAACATTTTACACAGAAATATCTTTTAATTCCATTTTCTTGAATTTCCTGAAGTCCCCTTGTACAAATAAAAAAGGCATGCTTTCCCATTTAATTATTAAGAAATTGCTACAGTCACAGGTACAGCCCTACTTAAGATACCTTAACAAAGAACTGCAGGCAAAATCAACCACAGGAGGGAACAAAATGTATAGTAGCCTTTGTAGCACTGGGTCAGTACATACTCCTCACATGGAGTCCTCAGAATCTGAGCTGCAGGCAACATAAAGGCGCTTCCTTCACTAAGATCCTCACGGAAACAAGTGTTAAAGAACAAGGCTATCCTTCTCCACCAGATCCTATGCTAGCAACTATGGTGGTCACTAACAGCTATTGAAATTCAATTCAAATTTAAACTCCTCCTCATACTAACCTCGTATCTCAAGTGGTCAAAGCAGCTAGGGGCTTTTGTACTACACAGCATAGACACAAAACACGATTGAACAGCAGTACATCAGAGTTTTCAAAGGACATACAGAATAAAGTAGGAGAAGGCAGGGGCTGTCTTAACATTAGAACGAATCTATATATATAATATGTAGAATGAATATATATATATTTTTACCTGTGGTACAGTAAGAAAACTCTTTATTTCCAAGTACTGATAAAGTAGACTGTTGTCCTCTATTCTTAATAAGCCATTTTCCAGCAATTCCTGCAGATGAAAATAATAAAGATACATACACAGTGAAATCAGCAGCCATATACATTGACATGACTGTACTTAAATTATAATGAGAATAAAGACATCTTACCAATCCTTTGGAGAAAACAGATTCCTCTGTTCTGGAAGAGAATGTTAAAATGTATCAACATGTTTTACAAATTGTCTCAGGACAATTCTACACTTTAGAAAAAATTAAAAATTAGAATATAAAGAATTCAAACATACACATCATTAACAACTTCCCAAGGCTGGGAAAGTCAGCCCTCTATCTGTGGCATCCAGGATCCCATACAGGTGTTGTTCTGTGACCCGGCTGCTCTACTTCCAACCTAGCTCTCCGCTTATGGGTTGGGAAAGCAGAGGAGGATTGCTCAAGTTCTTGGACCCCACAGCCCCTGGGAGGCCTGAAGGAAGCTCCCAGATTTGCATTGGCTCAGCTCTGCCCACTATGGTGGCTTGGGGAATTAAACAGCAGATATTAGACTTTTATCTCTTCTTTTCTTGTTCTGCGAATCTGCCTTTCAAATAAGAATGAAGAAATCCTTCTTGATGTTTTAAATTTATTAATTTATTTGAAAGACAGATTTATAGAGAGGAGAGACATGGGTGGCAGGAATTTCAGCACTTGAGTCTCACCCATCGATTCCCCAGTGGGAATCAGAAACAGAGCAGGTGGGACTCAAACTAGCACACTGATACACATGTGGGTGTACTAAGTGGCAGGTTAACCAACTGAACCACCCGCCCACATTTGATTTTCTGGGTCCTTTATATATTCTGCATATTAAACCTATATCAAATGTATAGTTTACAAATATATTCTCCCACTGTGTCAGCTGTCTCTTTACTTTGTAGTTTAATAAAATACCATTTGTCAATTTCCACCTATCCATGTCTTTGTGGTCTTATCTAAAAACCCACTGACTACACCATTTTGAATCATCTTACCTTTGCAAGAAGACATCAATATGTCCCATATTAAACTGTAAAAGGTACGATGGGCTAAAAAGAATAAAAATATATATAAAACACAAACACTGAAATTTTAAGTGCACATATCGAATATTTTCAGGGAAAAATGATACCTAAGACCTAAGTTTTTTTGGTGCGTGCATGCGTACACACACACACACACACACACACACACAAAATCCCTGCAGAGCTTTTCTCCAACACAGATTTGCCATGAATTTTCTGAAGAGCCTTGTACATACAATGACGCACTGAATTATGCCTTCCAGCCAAAAGACATATTGGAGTCCTAATACTAACGCTTCGTAATATCTTACTTGTACTTAATGATAGTTTTTTTCCCCCTAAACAGAAGTTATCACAGTAAAGTGTGATCACTGAATCCTAATCTGGTATGAATGATGTCATTATAAAAAGGGGGATTTTGGACAAAAAGACATGTATAAAGGGAGACTTCCATATGCATATGAAGAGAATGGAACAATGCAACCATGAGCCGAAGAACATTAAGGATTAGAGCAAACCAGTGGAAGCTAAGGGAGAGACACGGAAGATTCTCCTTTGCCATCCTCAGGAGCAACCGGCCTGCTGAGACATCTGGATCCCAGACTTCCAGCCTGCAGAACTGTACATCTCTATGATTTCACCAGCAAGTGGGAGGGACTTTGTTATAGCAGCCCTAGCAAGCTACCTTAGTTATTACAATGGTAAAGTGTGACAAAGTAGATACAGGCTCTGAGGTCACATACGACTATAAGAATTCTACCTACAGCACCCACTCACTGTAGAATCTCAGGTGGTGTTACTCACACTTTTACGCTGAAGTATATTCATATTTTAGTATATATGTATACAAATACATCTAATGACTATAAGACTATACACATCCATCACGGATTTTAAAGTCCAGGAGTGGCTACACTATAAATTATATATTTATTTGAAAATAAATTTGATAAACCTTATGAGAGAAGGACAAGATCAGGGTAATTATGACAGGAAGATTCAACTTAAGTTTGGTAATAAGTAACATTTAAGGATAAAGCTAGCTTTAAGCATACACAAAGAAGAAAGAAGGCTGAAGGAAGTGTGTGTTATCAGAACACAAGACTGAAGTTTACAGCGGATGAAGCAGCGACAGATCATGCAGAAGTTCCACTCCAGAGTCACAGAAAGGCATTAAGACTTTGCTTCCAGTTCAATACAAAGCTACAGACAGGCTTTCAATGAGTATTGCTTGACCGCATGTTCAGAATGGGTAGGATTAAAAAGGAATGAGAAGGGATATATAAACACCTGTTTAGGACTGTGGCAGTAATCCAGGGAAGAGATGATGGTTCCCTCCCGTGAAGTTCAGGGTGGACCTCAGCTATTTAAAGCAATGCCTAGTTTAACACGTTTTGTCTCTTACTCTGTACAGTGCATCTCTTGTCTTCATCATCTCCTTACATATACTTCAACACCCATTCAATCTCATTGATTCTTACTATCTTTAACAGATTATAGTCAGAATCATTTGGAACTTAACAGAAAGTAGCCGTGTTTAAATTATATTTGTAAATATATGAGTACAGTAATATACATTTATAGAACACAGAGTTTGGGCCTTGGGGTTGGGGACAACTGCAGCTCCCTGCAGTGTGGCAGCTGTGGGGTGTGCCCCTGCTGGGTCAGACCCATTGCTGGGGACTCACACCAAAGACACTGCTGGAAGGCAGTGAACGAGTCCTTGGCCCCCCCGGCCAGTGCACCGAATGGTGCCAGGCTTTGCCTGCTGGCCGCCCGGTGGCGAACTCTGGGGTTTCTAAGACATGTAGTTGCTACCTGGGGACACCCATGACTTAAGGCCAGTTTTAGTGTAGGTGAGAAGTGAATTTTGGGTGCTTCCCATTGACAGGGTCATGAAAATTTCAGGCATGTGTGGTTACTGAGACCTGGTGGTTTCGAGGGAAGTATCCAGAACATAATTTGGGTCAGACTGATTCACCAGCCCAATTAGGAATCCAGAGATGGGCTGTTAGCACAGAACATCACAGATTGCTACACACCAGCCCACACCAAAGCTATGGATGGGGGCCTCTTTGGCAGGGTTGGGCACCATTACCCGACTGAGTGTTGGAGTGGTCACATTTGGCAGGGTCAAGACACTAACCAGCACGTGAGAGCACTTGGTCCGGGGGATGACTCTGTGGGGTTGTGTGGGCCCAACCCTGTGGAAATACAAGTCCCCTTGGTTAGCTCGCAAGCTGGGTTTGTGATGGACTAAGCTAGGTGTGACCATGGCATCTGCCATCACTCACGGGTAAGGGAATCCACAACAGTCAGGGCAGGCCAAGGCAGCAGCACCTGAATGTGCATCCTTAAATAGGATGTGGAGTGGGCCGGGCTGCCACTGGAAGGGGGCAGAATGGGCAGGGCCGAACAAACCTTAATTCACAAGAAACAACAGAAATCAGGTTGGAACACAGGCCATGCCAAGTAGGCCCTTGTACCCACTGATCTGTGTGAGCCAGGGACGCTAAGCCATAGCATCTAAGGCAGGGGCCAGGACAAGTGAGGGGCTCTGACAAGCTGAGTCAGAGTAACCACTGGCATGCATGTGATCTAAGGCTGGGAACAGGCCCAGTTGAGGAGCTAAGGGGACACCCTAGCTGGGTTGAGTTTCCCACCAAGCAGCGCATGGGCTGGAATGGGGGCTGCGTTCTGATCAGGATACAGCTGTAATCTCACTTAGCACAAGTGTGGACTGGGACTGGAAGCACCAAGCTAGGCCAGACTTCAACACTATCTGGTGTCTTGGAGGACCAGGGTAGATCTGTGACAGACTAGGCTATGTCTCAGCCCTTACTGAACCATGTGTGAGCTGTAAGTGGGTATGATCGAGCCATGGCTGGGTTGAAACATCCTACAGTAAGAACCAGTTTGGGTTGAAGGCCAGTCAGGAAAAGCCACTGTTCCTGCCAGGACAGGAAGTGAACTGAGTAGGGCTGGCTCATGGACCCACTGGTAAGCGTGAAACCTGGCATTGGGAGAGGTTCTGATGAAGGAGCCTGGGCAACTCCTCTGGCAGGACACAGACCTGGCAGGTAAGCGCAAGAAGCACAATAGGAAACAGCCCAGAACAGGCCACGGAAATTATCCCACTGGCATATATTTGGCATGGGTTGGGAGCAGACAAGGTTGAATCTGTTCATATCATCCATGGCAAATCCGAGCACCAGAACAGAGTATGAGTCAAGGCAGGTTCGGTTGCGACACATACCAGTACACATAAAGGAATGCCAAGGCGAGATGAGCCGTACCAGATGTGGTTGTAGCGCCCTAACAGCACATGAGAAAATCGGGGGGGGAGGAAGCAAAGCTGACAGGGGAATGTGGGCTCCCCTGCTGGACAACTACTTCCACTGGAAAGCATGAGTCGGGATAGGGGCAGACCAGACTAGGCACGGCTATAACACATGTGGGCCTCATGTGAGCTAGGTAAGGGAGGGGCCATGGTGGGCTGACTGTTCCGACTGGTGCAAGCAAAGATTAGAGTGAGTGAAGGTTGGTTGGGCTTTGCCGCAGCATCAGATAACAGAGGCTGGCACTGGGAGCTAATTCTGTCAAGTCAAATGCCAGAACCACCTGGAGAGTGCATAATTTGGGAGTCGGAGTGGCATAGTAGGGAGACAGTGGGCACCTTCCTCAGGGTTACCACTCTCACTGGACAGCATGAAAACCAGGACTGGGGCAGGGGTGGCAAGACAGAAAGGCACCTGCCAGTATGTGTGTAGGCTGCATAGTAGGTTGGTTGGGTTGAACTAGGCTTCAATGCCCACTGACATGTATGAGAGCTAAATGGGATGTGGGACAAACTGGACAAGCTGCATAGTGGCATACATGGGGACTAGGGTAGGAGGCAGAACTGGTGGGGGTGATGGGGAGCCACCCCACCTAGGCTGCAGCTCCCACTGGTTTGCGTGAGGACTGAGTATGAAGTGGGTAGAATCGAACTGAACAACAACACCCATTGGTTCAAGTGGAAGACACTCACCCAGCAATAGCACTAACAATGACCAGCATGTAAATAAGCTGATTGGCACGATGGACGGTGTTGGACCCTGTACTAGCAAACTCACACAAGAATCAAATTTGGGATCATCTCAGATGAAGTTTCTTTGGAGATCCCTCCAACTGAACTACTGATCTTAGAACCCCAACCATGAAGAGACTGTGGGCTCTGAATAGGTTTCATTGCAATTGGAACTGCGAGACTGGCAGCAATCCAGAACTGTTGAACTATCAAAACAGCTTAAGCAGGACCCTCAGAGTGCGCCTCCCTTTGGGGATCTGCGATGGGTGGGAGGCTGAGTGGGGCTTTTCCCTTTGTTTCTCCCCTGACCCCAGATACAGGGGAAAATGATACTATTAGTGTGGAAACAATGGTATTACCCACTTTCACCCTGTAGCCCTATACCCTTTGTACCCTATTCAACTAAGTAAGATTATTAAAAAAATATTTTAAAAAAAAGAACATAGAAAAATGAGAGTTTGATGATATCTTTTAGAACACACAAACTAAACACTAACTCTTACCTCAAGACCATTGGAAGCTGATCAATATCGATGCCCTGTACAAATACTAGATATGCCAGAGAAGCCATAGAGTCTGCTAACTGTTTATCTTCTTCTTCTTCAAATTCCAGGTAATTCCAAGTCTTCTTTTTCCTTCCATGATTAAAAATCATTTTTGGAAAAGAGTGTCCAACTGCTGATAAAAAACCCTGTGAAATGGATAAAAAAGGAAAGTTAGCAGACAGACCAACCAAAGTGCCCCAACCAAATCAACATGCTATATCACCTCCACATATGGGTCCCAACCTCAAGGCTTGGTTTTAACAGAATGCAGCACAATAATCACTCAGGCAATTAGATTATGCTGCACAATAAAAACTCCCCCACCCCTCGCCACACACAAGATTTATTTTTTTGGAAGACAGAGCAACACAGAGAGAGGTACAAATAGGAGACCTTCCATCTACTGGTTCACTCCCCAAACCTAATCACAGCCAGTTCTGGGCCACATGAGTGACAGGGGCCCAAGCACTTGAGTGGGCCATCATCTACTGCTTTTGGAGGTTAATAACAGAAAGGTGGATCAAAAGTAGAATTAGTAAGGACATGAAGTGGCACCTGACTGCTACAACACCTGTCCCTGTGAAGCAGTTAGGCCCCCATAATCAGTTGGTTTGAGTTATTCAGAATCAAGACTATCCTGGGCAGCCCTTACCTAACTGGGTAAAAGGCTTTTAAAGGGGTTCAAGCCTTCCCTGTGAGTCAGCAACTCTCCCTTGCTGCCTATGTAGAACTAAATTACTGGATCAAGAGAGGGCTGCATGGCAGGGGCATACAAGAGCCTCTAGCAGCTGCAGTCCCTGGCTGACACCTAGCAAGAAAATGGAGACCTCAGTCCTACAGCCTGAAGAGATGAATTCTGCCAACAACCTGAGAGAACAACGACTTGTAAACTGATCAATTCCCAGTGAGGGTGTTGACACCAACGCAGGCCCAATGAACAAGGGGCCGATAACCCAAGAAGACCTCGAGCAGAGAACCTAACTAAGCTATCATTAAACTCCTAATGTGCAGGAACTTTAACAGCAGGCTCCATTTGTAGGAACTGTCAAACAGCAGGACAAAACTAGTACAGAAGCCAACAGAAAAATCATATCTTACATGAGCATTTAAGTGTCAGATGGTTTTCTAAATCAACTCAAGAGTCACAACTAAAAGCATACACAGAAAGGAATTCTGCTGGTAGCTAAATGGTCTGACTATAACAAAAGAAGACATTTTTGTAATAAAAAACATTCTTCAGTGCTTCTGACACAGGAGTGGAAGGGAAAGCACACTGGGAAGCTAGTATCGAATGGGAACACAGTTTTAATGGGAAGACAAAAACGCTGAGGACATGGAGGATGATGACAACTGCCAGCGATAATGGGATTGTGCTTTCTACCAGTGAACTGTGTGCTTAGAAAGAGCAGGATAAATGCTACGCAGACTTGACCAGATTTTCTTTCTGAAGTGCCTCTGAGGTATGTGAGGACAATTTAAATATGTGAGACACAGAAGCACCATGAAATGCAAGTAAACTAACTGATCAGGTGACCTCCTTTTGCAACAGTGCTCAACTGCCCAGTCTCTGCCTCTGCGCAGAGCCTGGCAGAACGCAGGGAGCGCAGTGGCAGTAAGGCTGGAGGTCACACAGGTCCTAGCATCGCCCAGGGAACAAGAGGCATCCTTGTAGGAATAGACAGGACCACAGGGTAAAAGTCTTGTTCAGGAAACCTAGGCCACCCCCCTACTGGTTTTATTGCTTATTTTTTATTTGTAAAACAGACTGAGAAAGTCACACAGAGAAGAGGAGGGTGGAGAGAGTGAGAGAATCTTCATCTGCTATTTCACTACCCAAATGGCTGCAATACTCAGAGCTGGGATGGATTGAAGCCAGGAGCCCAGAGCTTCCAAGTCTCCCCTGTGGGTGCAGAAGCCCAAGTATTTGAGCCATCCTCCACTGGTTTCCTAGATAGTTATAAGCAGGGAGCTGGATCAGAAGCAGCCAGGAATTCAGTTGGCACCTATATAGGATGCAGGCACAAGAGGAAAAAGCTTAGCCTACAAAGCTACCGGTTCCTCATTCCCCTATTTTTTATACTTCTCACTCCAGTATACTAGAAAGCACCTGATCTTCAGAATTAATGAAAGCTGATTTTGAGTTTTGTTTCCAGCATTCACTCACTGTGTGACTGTGGACCTCACCTGCCTTCCTTATATAAAAAATGATGTAACATCTGTGAACAAGGCCTGGTGTGATAGTGTAGCAGCTAAAGTCCTTGTCCTGAATGCACCAGGACCCTATATGGGCACTGGTTTGTATCCTAGCAGCCCCGCTTCCCATCCAGCTCCCTTCTTATGGCCTGGGAAAGCAGTAGAGAATGGCCCAAAGCCTTGGGACCCTGCACCTGTGTGGGAGAATTGAAGAAGTTTCGGGATTCAGATTGGCTCGGCTCTAGCCATTGTGGCCATTTGGGGAGTAAACCATCAGACGGAAGATTTTCCTCTCTGACTTTCCTCCTCTCTGTATATCTATCTTTCCAATCAAAATAAATAAATCTTTAAAAAACAGTATCTGTGACATAAAAATCTTAATAAAGTCACAACAAAAACTACCATGTGGTAGCTAAAAGGGACTAAATGATTAGAATCAGCTAAATTAGAATGAATACTGACCTTCTACATATTTACTTCTTTTTTTTTTTTCCAATAAACCCATTTGTGCCCGACACTGCAGAGCAATACAAAGTCAAATAACATCTTCCTCTCCTTCAGGGAGTTAAAATCTGCTGGTCCCAGATGGTTTCATTAGTCATTTCAGAGTACAAAAAGGAACCAAGACACATATCCTCCAACACAAGAGGCTGCTATTCAGCTACCAGATGCTAAATACGTGCTGCTGTATCAATTTTCAAAACCATGCGCTCATTATAGCTAGGAGACAAAAAGCGTCCTGCATTCAGTATCCAAATGGCCTTTCACAAAGCTCCCTGTCTCCATTCAGTTAATGCTGTGTGTGGTTTTTCAGAGCAAGGAAGCCCTTAAAAAAATCATCATGCCTAATTAGATTCTATAGTGCCACCCCAGTGTTAGGCATCCAACCTGTGACCCACTCGGAACCCCACTCTTGACCTAAAGCCCACTCGGCTGTGCTTCACATCCTGACAGTGTGAGGAATGTGTCTATGCTGTAACCTGCACATCCTAGCAGTTCCTTACCAAAAGCACTGTATCAAAGCAGAGACGGCTGAACCTGGTGGACCCCAATCACACTCCACTTACCAGCATGTGTGTAGCGCAGAACAGGAGGCAAACCCTCTCTTCCCCTGTGGCCTGATTTTACCTCGATCTCTTGACTGCTCTGTGTTTCCTCACTGCTGGTCCCCTCTGAGATCTCAGGATGACTCTCCTACACTCACAAACTCCTCCTACTTCACAGCTGTAATTAAATATCTCCGACTTCTGGTGGAAACTAGGCATACTCCCATCCCCTTTCCATTATAGGGTCACAGAGACAGAAGCACTGGTGTGCACCAGGGAAGGCTTAGTTTTTATCTTGGCCCTTCCCTAACTCTGGAAAAAAGCCCATTTGCCTTTGAGGGTCATGCTATATTGCTCTTGAACTATCTGCAGTCAATAGCTGGATTTAATTACATTTAGTTTAATTACAGTACCATGTCAGTCTGAAAACAACTTCAACCCACTTTCTCTACTACTACACCCAGGCAGCTGCGTACTGCTGGGGGATAACCACACAAGAACACACATTGTTGTTGCTACAGTTGTGGTCTCCAACTAACAGCTGAGTCTACCACCAATCTCTCTCTTTCTTCCCTCAGTATTCTAAACCTTGACCATCTTCCCGAAGTCTCTTACTCAGTCCTAATCTCCACCCCCTTTCTCTTTAGACACTGCTTCTTGGTCGTTTTAGAAATCTTAGTCCAGTGGGTCTGATTTCCCTCAATTAAACCCCACTCCTCCTACAAATTACTTTACATGCTTTTCTGTTCTGACCTTCTCCTCTCCTAAACTCCTTTTACGCCTCTAATCCTGTGCTATGAGGCAGGCTTCAACTTGAGCCACATCGTTTTAGTTGTCCCATAAGCATTTCTCTTTTCCCCTCTAATGGTTTCTAGCCCATTGGGTGTGCATGTGTTTACATATTCACCCTCAGGCCTTCCTGCCCCTGCATTAACTTCCTACCCTTGGCTCATGTATTCTAGCTACTGCCTCTCTCTTTGCTTATTCATCTAAACTCTTTAGATAACTCTTGCTGTCATCTTACTTTGTTCTTTATTATTTTATGCATGAGACTCTGATCTTTTGTCTCCAGCACCATCTCCATACTGTTCTTGCTAAGACTCTCCATGCCCTCTCACCTCCAGAATCCAATGTCTGCTCGTCACTGCGTCTCACAGTACTGGTCACTTACTTCCTCCTAAAGCTCTACTACTGCAGTTTCTGTGACATTGCTACCACTTCTTTGACTCTCCTTTCTTAGTTTATTAAGTGGCGAGAGACTCAGCTGTTGGAGACCACAACCATAGTGACAACAGCGTGTTTTTGTGTGGTTTTCCCCAGACAGCACGTGGCTGCATGGGTGTAGAAGTAGAGAAGATGGGCTGCAGTTGTTTTCAGACTGGCACTATACTGGTAAATCCAGCTACAGACTGCAGATAGTTCAATCCTGAGCCTGTTCTGGTTTCACACTGAGGTGCCTCTTTGGTTGGTCTCATCTACTACTATTAAAAAATATTTCGGGACCCAGCACGGTAGCCTGAAAGTTGAACTACATGGTCCAATTTAAATATATTATGGGGTTGGTGTGGTGACATAGCAAGCTAATTCTCCACTAGCAATACTGGCATCCCACATGGATGTCAGTTCAAGTCCTGGCTGCTTCACTTCCAATCCAGCTCCATGCTAATGTGTGAAGGCACTTCAACACGAAGTAAATGTACTTTGAAAAAATTTCGCAAGGATTTCAAAATTTTTCCAAGAAAACCAATTTTAAAATTTAACTTCCAGGAACTTTGTATACTTGCATACATAAATGTATGTGCACTTTCTTATCTATTCATAAGGAAGCAGAAAAAGTCTGAAAGGTGTTAACAGTATCTGTCTTTGGATAATGAAGTTACTTTATTTTTCATCTTTTCATTTAACTGTGTTCTATGGAAAGCACATTTTGCTTTACTAGTAAAGGCATAAACTTACAAGTACATTTGCAATGGCAGTAAAGAACAAGATAGCAGGGCAATGTTTTGGCTTATAGCAGATTTTATCATAAATAGAACTGATTATACTTACTATTATTTCAGCTGCAAAATACCTTAAAGGATCATTTTCAACTTTTTCAGACTGTTCAAGGAACTGTGCTGTCAGTAGAGGGCATTTCAAGCTTTTGAAACAACTAAGGCAAAGAAATAGGTAATCAAAATCAATATAAATGGAGTTCAAAAGAAAGACAACATAAGCACTGCTATGGTTTGAATGTTTGTTCCCTCTAAAACTCAAGCTGAAACTCAATAGCCCTGGGAGGAACACTGAGCAGTGGGACACTGGAAAGGAGAGGACATGAGGCCCGCCTCTCTTAAGTGGGATCCTTGGTGGTTTAAAATGCTGACTTTGGTCCTATCTTGCCTCTACCCGGCTGCTGTGCATGAAGCAACTAGGCCTTCTGCAAACGCCAGTGCATCAATCCTGGACTTCTGCTGAACGAGGATGAGTCCATAAACGTCTGTGCACTGTACATCAGTAGTCTCACACATCCTGTCAGAGCAGCACAAACTAAGCAAGAGAAGTTCCAACATCTGAATAGCCTCGAATATTGGTGCTGCAACATCTATTTTTATAGCAAAGTCAGATATATAGAGAGGAGAGAGAGGAAGACCTTCCATCCGATGATTCACTCCCCAAGTGACCGCAACAGCCAGTGCCGTGCCGATCTGAAGCCGGGAGCCAGGAACTTCCTCCAGGTCTCCCACACGGCTGCAGGGTTCCAAAGCTCTGGACTGTCCTCAACTGCCTTCCCAGGCCACAAGCAGGGAACTGGATGGGAAGTGGGGCTGCCGAGATCAAAACTGGTGCCCACATGGGATCCTGGCGCATTTAAGGCGAGGACTTTAGCCACTAAGCCACTGCACCAGGCCTGCTGTAACAACCTTATCCCCAGCAACGTGGAGGACATGTGAAGAGCAAGTTATATGCAACACTTGGAAATTCATTTTATGTTGGGACGACTTCAGTGAAATTAGTGCAATAGAACTCTGATCAATATGCTTAATTTTTAAATTAAGCTGCACAGCTGAATTTGGACCAGCCAGACTGAACAGTATTGGTTCCCCTGGAAAGGCATGCTAAGGGTAGGTCTTCTGCTGTGCCGGTAGCCATGCTGGATGTTCAGCTGTGCAGCAGTACTTCTGCTCTGGCTTGCAAAGGTGGAACAAAAACAATTTCTCCACAGAAGGGGCAGATTCCTGAGCTGCCAATATCTCTTTCCCTCATTTTGATTGGTCATTTACTATCAGTAAAGGCAATACAGAGAAGAATATAAAGTAAGTTAAAAGAATGGAGTTGGGTTTTATAAGTTTTAAAAAATATGAATGCCACATCAAATGTCCGTGCCAGTTTTATCAGCTGAACCCTGAATTCTTACAAAATTTAAAAATCACATTTAAAAAAAAATACCCTTAAATTCACATGGCAAACAAGGCAAAGAAACACAAAATAAATGAACTGTCAATTACTAAAATACACAAAGAGACAATCTTACAATTTCAGTAATTCATCCTTTAACTTCTCATTTTCCGTGGAGTTTTCTTCAGCATTGATGACTTCTCCCATGAACGGCTTCGTGAACTCTATCAAGGCCTTGCAACACTGACAGAGGCCGTACTCATCTGCCTGTATCTGTTCTTTTGCGTAAGGAACAGGAAGAACAGAAAGTTGACTCCAAAGGGTAGATAATGCTAATCCAACTGAGTATGCCTTGTTGTTGGGAAGCTTCTGAATCACTGAAACAGAGACCAGGTCGTTATTTGTGGTGACTGCAAGCACAATAAACACAAGATAAAAATGTTAGTAGAGGGGCAACAGCGTTGTGGTACAGCGGGTTATGTTGCTGCCTTTTGGTATCTTTCATGGCCATAGGTTCATATAGAGTTGTTCTACCTCCAATCCAGTTCCCTGCTAATGTGCCTGTGAAAACCAGAAGACACCCCTATAATTAGGTGGGGAACCCACTTGAAGCTCTTGGCTTCTGGCATCAGCCTGGATCAGCCCCAGCTGCTGGCAGCCATTTGGGGAGTGAGCCAGCAGATGAAATATTCTTTGTCCTTCTCTCTCTCTGTAACTTTGCCTTTCAAGTAAATACGTAAATCTTATTTTTATAATAAAAAAAGAAAGGAGGTACAGTAGACAGAATGACCAAACATTTGTTTTCTCACATTTTAACAATTCTGAGATTAGGATAACACATCATAGATTAATTGGCAGCATCTTTCCCTCCTAGTGGTGCATAAGTTAATGGAGCACCATAACAATTATGGCCATTACAATATGCCATTAAATCTTCTGTATGTATGTTGATGCCTGGCTACATATTTAAGATACATTCTTTGCATATTTTGTTGGGTATTAGCATAAAATATTAATATCTGGCACACTAAGAAGCTCTGTACAAATGGGAGGTAGTACTGAACCTTTCAAGGGATGCAAAGCTGGTGGCCATTCATATTTAAAATCAGGTCACTCTAATTTCTGATTTTGGATCCCTTTGTCAGACTAAGAAAAATGTTTTTTCTTTAAAAATTTTGTTTCAAACTTCCTATGGCTTAAAAAAAAATTTTGTCCCCAGTGCGGTGACCAAGTGGCTAAAGTCCTTGCCTTGAATGCTCCGTCCGGGATCCCACATGGGCGCCGGTTTTAATTCCAGCGGCTCCACTTCCCATCCAGCTCCCTGTTTGTGGCCTGGGAAAGCAGTTGAGGACGGCCCAAAACCTTGGTACCCTGCACCCACATGGGAGACCCGGAAGAGCTCCTTGCTCCCAGCTTCAGATCGGCACAGTACTGGCTGTTACAGTCACTTGGGGAGTGAATCATTGGACGGAATATCTTCCTCTCTGTCTCTCCTCCTCTCTATATATCTGACTTTGCAATAAAAATAAATCAATCTTAATTTTTTTTAAAAATTTGAAACATAGTTACAGAGAGAGTAACAGAGAGAGTGCTTCCATCTGCTGGTTAACCCCCCAAATGGCAGCTGAACCGGCTACAGCTTCATCACCATCTGCAACACAGGTGGCAGGGGCCTGAGAACTGGGTCCTTCTCTGTTGCCTTCATCAGCTGCTCCAGAAGGCGAAAAGCAATAATATTAATTAGTGCTCATATGGGAAGCCAATGTGTGGATGTTGGCTAAATCCACTGAGCCACAATGATGGTCCCCAGGTATTTCCTAAGATGAAAAACAGCCTCTTCGTAGGGATAAATACTATTTTCTTTAGTTGCCAGCATGAATTACTTACCAGTACCATTAGTACATTCAGTCACGGAACCTAATCATTCCATGTATTCTTCAGGTTTTTTTTTCTTCAGCTGTTGGTTCTTGCATTTTGTTTTGGTTTCCTGAACCACAAACTCCAAATGCATGAGATGAGCAATGCTGTGCTGGATTCTTGCTTTCTCCCGATATCTCTCATCTCTCTCTCTCTCCCTCTCTCCCTCATTTATTTCTAAGGTTGGTTCACTCCCTAAGTGCCTACAGCAGCCAGGGCTGGGCAGACTGAAGCCAGCAGCTGGAACTCCATCTGGGTCTCTTCCAGGGGTGGTAGGGACCACAGCAGGGGAGCCATTATTTCTGCTCCCAGCATGTTTTACCAGGAAGCTGGATTAGAAGTGAAGGTAGTGGAACTCACAAGCACTCTGCGGAATGCCATCTTCACAAGCAGTGGGACCATCGCATACCAATGACACTATCTTTTTTCAAACCCAAATCTGATTGCCATTAGGATATCAGACTGAGTACTAGACACCATAAAAGTAATCCTTTAAATATGTTTATAAAACAAATTCTAGATATAGGCCATAGATAGGAAGATTAGGTGAAAAGCTACAAATCACAGGACAACAGGCACAAAACAGGGCATTATAATCATCAAGGTATTTACTGGGTATCCACACTGTGCCAGGTACACAGCAGCATGGACACTGCTATTACCAGGTTAGATAGAGCACTTGATAATTCATCAGAAACTGGATGTGGGTACAGTGTGACATTGTAGGGTGAACATCAAGGCACTTACGCAAATAAAACAAGAAATACTTTGATGTCAAAATGTTCATTACCTGTTTGCAATGACGGAAGCAAAAGAAGAATAATTTGGGATATCTGTTTTCCAGAGGGCTCTTCAATCAATTCAAGCAAACCCAACAATAATTCCTTTGGATTACATAACTATAAAAATATTCACAATTGAACCTGTTTAATACAAGTTGCATTTAAAGCCACATGATTACCATTTTTAAGAAGGCATAAGCTCAGATAATATAATTATTTTTGCTTAACACTAAAACACCTTACACAACTGTTCAAAGGAAACGTTAGAGAAGTAGGAGCCGGAAGAGTCTGGTCATTAGGGCTCAGCTTCCCTTGGCCTTCACCTGTTACTCCAGAGGCTGCTGAGATTCCTAGGGCTTCAGCTAGTGAGTCCCTTGAGTGCCCTGTGGCCAGGGTACTTGTGCTAGTTCAGACTCTATTCTGAACCTCCTGAACAGATACAACTTGGTACTTTCTGACTGGTCATACCTTTCGCTTTACTTGCTTTTAAAAAAAATGACTTTCAAGAGACGCCCCATCTGTTGGCTCACTCTGCAAATCCCTACAATGTCCCCAAACTGGGCCAAAAGCAGGGAGACAGAAGTCAATTCAGGTCCCTCTGGGTGGGTGGCAGAATCCCAATCACTACTGCCTGAGTGGTAAGCTGCAGTCATGTCACAGTCAGACGTGTGACCTAGGTACCCTGACACGGGCTGTAGGTGCCTTAATGGCTGGGCCAAACACTTGTTCCTTATTTTCTTAAAAGCCCTCATGAGCAATAACTCACATCTAGATGAATTCCCCTCTTTGCAAGTATGTATTTGTCCTCATCTGCTGATTTCTGAGAGGCTCCTTCTACTCTCCCTTTCCTTTGAATTTATCTTAGCCTTCGTATGCTGCTTTCTAACTGTTCTGCCAAAGCTTGCTTTCTTAGGTGGTCAGTCACCAGTGTGTTGTTCTACTTTCTATTTCAGTTCTATGAGCATTGCATTCTAGGTTTGCCAAACTCATTTAAGGAACACAGCATGGAGGAAAGAGCAGTGGTATTCGATTCTAATTTCAACACAGCCAGAAATCCAGTATGGCCTTGACGTACTTCTCTAAACCTTGAATCCCCCATTTATATAAGATTACTTGCTAAAATATAACATCTCAGGTCTCTCCCTGGAGAGTCACAATCAGTGAGGCTAAAAGGAGGTTAGAAAACTCCTACACCTGGGAAAGTTGGGAAATCCTGAATGCAATTAATAAGACTGAGCTTTTTTCAGTGCTCCTTGCTGTGTGTGATTTCATGAAGCAAACATTTTCTGACCAAACAAGCACTAAATATCAAATTGAATTAAAAGATTCCAGTGTGTTTTATAAGAACTCACTTTTGTTAACTTACCTTTACCAATAGATCAAGCATCTGATAACAATCTTTTCTTTTATCATCATCTTTATCATTGCATAAAAGGCATCGAACCACAGGTCCCACGAGGTTCCAGCCCATAGTCTTAAAGATAACCTGTAAAAAGTTTCAGAGTGAGCAAGCACTGCCATCTATAGATTTCCTGCAGCATGCTTTTTTTCAAATTGGCAAGTGGTGAGCTGGCTGTGAACAGATATCACTACTTGAAAAGTTTTTAATATATTCATTGAGCAAAGGAACAATCTACTTTGTTCTTTCCCAGGATTTAAATGGTTTCTCTACTTACCACTTTTTACTTTTTTAAACTTCAGAAAATAATCTAAAGAGCACATAGTTTTTCAACTTCCAACAAGAGAAATAATTCACTTCATATGAGCAATGACTTAGTTTTTACAGAGAATTTTTTTGAGGAAATTTAGTCAATTCCATGCAGAATTTCTAAATACTATCATTTGTAACTTACATAAGAAGGGATGTGATTTCATTAACATTTCAGAATGATTATTGCAAAAAGTTTATCTAGGCAAACACTGGTTATCAAAACCACTGTTTTTCAACATTTATAAACTAGCCTCCACTTTTCCAGTCTGCTTTAGAATTCAACTCACCAACATTCACAAAATATACGATATGTAAAATTCCAGGTTGAAAAAAACCAGAAACAACCTGGAAAGAAAGACATGGTCCGGTGCAATGAATCAGTGGCTAAATCCCTTCCATGCACTCAGATCCCATAGGACACTGGTTTGTGTCCCACCTGCTCCTCTTCCCCTCAAGCTCTGTTTGTGGCCTGAGGATGACCCAAAGCTTTGGCACCCTATACCCACGTGCAAGAGCCAGAAGAAGCTCTGGCTCCTGGCTTCATACTGGCTCAGCTCTGGCTGTTGCAGCCACTTCGACAGTGAACCAGTGGATGGAATACAAGAATATCCTGTAAATCTGCTTTTCCAATAAAAGTAAATAAATCTTTAAAAAAGAGAGAGGAGAAGAGGAAAAAAATGAATGAACATACCAGGTAGGAGTCTTATACACAAGGAGTTGGTTTTCTAGGCTCTAGGATCATTATTTCAAACCAAAACATGGGCATGCATTATGGCACAGCAGTTTAAGCCAATGTTTGGGATGTTCATGTGCATCCCAAGATCTGAGCGATTCTTCAAGTACTGGCGACTGCACTCCGACTACATTTCCAGCTAATTAACACATCCTGGGAAGCAGCAGACAATGACTCAAGCACCAAGGTTCCCACCATCCATGTGGGAGACGTGGATGGAGATCTGGGTCCTTGGCTTTGGCCTGGCCATGCCCTGGCTGTTCTGGACATTTGGGGAGTCATTAACAGAAAATTTCTGCTTTTCCTTCCCTGTCATTTTGCCTTTCAAACATAAACAAATATATCTTTATCAACTCAAAATAAACTCCTGGCATGAGAGCCTACTGGCTAAATTCTCGCCTTGCATCCGCTGGGATCCCATATGGGTGCGAGTGTACGTCTCGGCTGCTCCACCTCCCATCCAGCTCCCTGCTTATGTGCTGGGAAAGCAGTAGAGAATGGCCCAAAGCCTTGGGACCCTGAACCTGTATAGGAGACCTGGGAAAAGCTCCTGGCTTCAAATTGGCTCAGCTCTGTCTGCTGCGGTGACTTATGGAGTGAACCAGCAAATAGAAGATCTCTCTGTAAAACTGCCTTTCCAATAAAAATAAATAAGTCTTTAAAACACACACAGCTTGGGCCCGGCGCAGTGGTGCAGTGGTTAAGGTCCTCTCCTTGCATGCCCGGAATCCCATATGGGCACCGGTTTTATCCCGGCAGCCCCGCTTCCCTTCCAGCTCCCTGCCTGTGGCCTGGTAAAGCAGTCGAGGACGGCCCAAAGCTTTGGGAACCTGCATCCGTGTGGGAGACCCAGAAGAGGCTCCTGGCTTTGGATCAGCATAGTATCGGCCGTTGCGCTCACTTGGGGAGTGAATCATTGGACGGAAGATCTTTCTCTCTGTCTCTCCTCTCTGTCTCTCCGCCTTTCCAATAAAAAAAATAATAAAAATAAATCTTAAAAAAAAACACACACACAGCTTATAAGAACAGATTTAGGAAGATGATGAAATGGCATACACAATACTTTGAGTCTAGTCTTATAAAAGAATGTGCAGGTTTAGCAAAAGAATAGTCATCTATTTGGGGGAGGCAGGTGAGATTTCCCAGAAACAAAAGTAATAAGAGTTTTTGGAGAAACAAAAAAATTTAAGGCAATGATAAATGGGAAATACACTGAATAATCTGCAACAGGCTAATGTTCTGTAGAACCATCAGTAGATAATGTTTTGTGAACACACAGTTCAGTAAAGGGGAAATGGTACCGCACAGATTTTTGCTTCCTTACTATCTAGACATGTCAGTGTTTCCATAACTTACACACGCTCCCTCTATGTGAACATTAACTCCTTGTGAAAAATACTTGTTCAGAGTTTTCAGTTGTCCTTACTTTTTGATTAATTACTGGTTGATGGTTGTAAGCAGGCCAACCAGAGTGTTTTTTGGAGCTTTATTTTTCTTAAGAGGCAGAGGGATAAATAGATACAGACAGCTCCTATCCAGTGGCTCACTCCCCAAATGTTACCAACAGCTGGAACAACTGAAGTATTGGGAGAAGAGGGAACAGAAGAGCCACTGGATAGGAGCTGTCTGTATCTATTAAGTTTAGTTGATCTCTTTGAATATCGTTCGCAGTCTCAGAATTGCTATAACCTGACTTCCTTCGACGCTCCGTGTAAGTTCACATGGCATAGTCCATCTCCCTGACCTTGTCCTATTTTTCCCTACAACATTTACCACTTTAGGGACTATGTAACTTATTTATCATGTATCTATCTGCTTCATTCCTTTCAATCAAAGATCTATCTGGGCAGTATTTTTTGTTCATTGCTAACTCTACTTGCCAAATCTAGAATAGATCCTGTCAGGAAACAGTCAATACATATAAGACTGAATTATGTCTGCAACTTTTGTTTTTAAAAATCTATTTGAAAGGCAGAGTGACAGAGAGGAAGAGAGTGACAGAGATCTTCCATCCGCTATTTCCCTTCTCAAATGCCCCCCGCATCCTGGGCATTTGCCAGGAGCCAGGAAGTCCATCCTAGTCTCCCACATGAGTGGCAGGGTCCAAGTACGTGGGTCATCACTGACAGCTCTTCCAGGTGCATCAACAAGAAGCTGGGTGGGAAGTGGAGCAGCTGAAAGTTGGGATGCCGGCGTTACAAGCAGCAGCTTAATCATTGTGCACAGCGACATCCCTATTACTATTAAACATAACAAATTATCTCCAAAGGTTTGACACTGTTTTCTTTCACTTTTGTGTGTGGCTTGATTTTTAATATTTAAAATTTTACTCAAGCAACTTGTGTTCTCCAATTACAAAAATCATGCTATTATTTATTACAGACTATCCTTTTAAAATTTATTTGTATTCTTCTAACTAAGCATTTCTACTCCTTTTCATAAGCCAATTTTTACCCTAAAAGTGACCTGCAGAAAGATAACTAAATATAATAGGACTCTCAGGTTTGAATGAGAGTTTGCACATTTGAGATTGTCTATACCTACAAAGTCAGGATAAACTTAAGTATCAGAATGATGGGACTTGTGACTGCTGTTGAAGGACTATACCATTGCACTAATATTGGGGAAATGGAGGGGAGAGGGAGAATGAAGGGGATGAAGGAGAAATTCCTGAGGCTATGGAACTTTAGCATAAAAAATAAAAAACGCAAAAAGCTGTTACCTGTAATACAACAAAATAATGTTGATAAGATACTTTACACATATTCTATTAGCTTCAAGGCAACCCATCAATGTAAATGTTTCACGGCTCTGAGGGAAGAGGAGTGGGCCAATAGTTGCAAGGAAGGAAAACCAGGCTTACTGAGTTCCCTTAGGGTAGTGGCCTATGCTCACGACCTTCCAGAGGACACCTGGCAATGCCACAGACATTTGTGGTTGTCAGTACCTGGAGGTGGTAGTGACAGGGTGGGGGTAACCATCGTGCGATGCACAGGTCAGTATACCCAATAAAGAAATGGCCTTTGAAATACATGAATCACATTAAAGTTGTTAAAACCTACGTTATAATCTTGGGACAAGTTACTGTCCATTATGATGTACTAAAAAAAACCCAAAAAAACCAAAAACCAAAAACCAAAAAAACACACATGCAGAAGATTCAATGTTGATATGGTTACCTGGTATGAAAATTTAGTTGCAGTCAGTTCTAAACATTGTCTAAATCAACATGTTCATCTTTACATTTTAGCACACCTCACATTGCAAAGGTGATTCTCAAGACATTAAGATTAAGCCTCACTATACTTAAATCTATCCCATTAGCTACTTAGACACATGCTAAAAATAAAGCCCTGAGGCATGCAGCACAGCAAGAACAATTAGACCCCTCTCCGGGTCTCCCTGAAGGCCCTCCAAGCAGATGCCTTCCTCTTCACCTGCTCACTCCTCAGATGCTCCTGGGCTGTTTCTCTACACTCTTCTCCCTTTCTTGGGAACTCAAACCTTTTCTTCTTAGAATGCTTCATTCATGTAGCATTTAACAGGCACACACTATGTGTGTCTGCTGAGCTCCAGACCTTACTGTCCAATCATTTGCAGCAAAACTCAAAATTTCAACTTGCTTGTCTTCCTTCTGTTGGTCACCTTTATCAGCTCTGGATATCAAGTACTGCACTTTCCTTTCAGAGCCTACATACCAGCAATCTCTGAGGCCTACCCCTCTCTCACAACCAGTCCTCTCTATTGGACTGGAAAGTTTCACCCTAAGTGTCACACAGGGCTAACCAGAGTGGTTAAGAGCTTCAAAGCCAAGTAATCTAGAACTGAATGCTGGATGTCAAATACAAGCTGAGTTACTTTTGGACAAGTCATTTAACCTTTCAGTTGATAGTTTCTAATCCACAAGATGAATTTAATAGCAATGAACACACTCCAAACAGTTAATGGTAAGTGGAATTAAAAACTAAGTGTACTGGGATCTAAAACACTTTGAAATCCTTGCAGTTTTTCACAGTAAGCATTTTGAAAGGCAGCATGACAGCAGGAGCAGGCAGCAGGAAGGAGCCTGGAACCCAAGTACATGACCCATTATCTGCTGCCTTTCAGGGCCGTGCGAAGGAAACTGCATTGGAAGCAGGGCTGGGAAGTCAATCCTGGGTACCTTTTACATCACAATAGTCATGCAACGACAATTTTTTAAGGACCACCCCCACTCTGGACCTGATCTTAGATGCATCAATTTCTTAAAAAAAAAAAAAAAAACTGCACCAGGTAAGTATCTTTCAGGGTCTGGCGCAGAGCCTACTGGCTAAATCACCACCTTGCATGCACCAGGATCCCATACGGGCACCTAATTCCCGCCTGTGGCCTGGGAAACAGTAGGGGATGGCCCAAAGCCTGTGCGGGAGACCTGGAAGAGGTTCCTGGCTCCTAGCTTCGGACAGGCTAAGGTACAACTCTTGCAGCCACCTCAGGAGTGGCTCCTCCTCTCTGTAAACCTGATTTTCCAATAAAAATAAATGAATCTTTAAAAAAACAAAAGTATTTTTCAATTCAATTTTTCACAGTTTTTGAAATACCCTTATAATATCTATCTTCCAGGATTCTGGGAGGTAAGCTAATAAATATAAAGCACTTAATACAGCATCTGGCACAGAGTAACAGCACAGCTACTAATTTCATTATTATTTGCTAAAACCTACATAGACTCACTCAAATATTATCACCTGAATCAAGAGTTTCTAAAAAAAAATTTACTCTGGCTAGAACGTTATCATAAACACATATCAAAAACTATATAAGCAGTCTTAATGTTTCTCACAAAAATAAAAAGATAAGTCATTTGAAGCATTAACTAAGAGATTATACAATTTGAAATTAAAGTCTTAGGAATCTTCCAAATCCAATCAAGGTATCCTGGTCAGAGTCACACGTAAGCATTACTAGACTGTGACAACAACAAAGAAAACTGCTGCATAAACCTTAAAATGTGGGGCCTGGTGCGGTGGCCTTGCAACTGCTGGGATTCCAGATGGGCAATGGTTTAAACACCGGCTGCTCTACTTCCCATCCAGCTCCCTGCCTAAGGCCTTGGACTGCAGTAGGGATGGCCCAAAGCCTTAGAAACCTATACCTGTGTGGGAGACCTGGAAGAAGCTCCAGCTGTTGTGGCTGCTTGGGGAGTGAACCAGCAGACAGAAGATCCTTCTATCTCTCCTTCTCTATGTAAATGTAAAAATAAATCTTAAAAAAAAAAAAAAAGCCTGAAAATGCAGATCAAGCAAGTTCCTAGAGAGAAGACAAGGTTCCCTACAGTTACAAAGAGGAGTCCAAAGTCAGAAAATCTGGCAGTGCGTTCCCTATATCCCATCCCAGAAAAAACGTCTCAGGCCATCCCAGTGGGAAACAACAGGTCAGGAAGGTCCCCTGGCTTTCCGTTCTTTTTTTTTTTAAAGATTTATTTTTATTATTTTCTCATTGGAAAGGCAGATATACAGAGAGGAGAGAGACAGAGAGGAAGATCTTCCGTCCAATGATTCACTCCCCAAGTGAGCGCAACGGTCGATGCTATGCCAATCCGAAGCCAGGAGCCTCCTCTGGGTCTCCCACGCGGGTGCAGGTTCCCAAAGCTTTGGGCCGTCCTCTGCTGCTTTCCCAGGTCACAGGCAGGGAGCTGGAAGGGAAGTGGGGCTGCCGGGATAGAACCGGCGCCCATATGGGATCCCGGGCGTGCAAGGCGAGGACCTTAACCACTGCGCCACTGCGCCGGCCCGGCTTTCCGTTCTTAAAACAGCGTGCACAAGGACACTGATGAATTAAACTACCATGGTTACAAGAGAATGCCTGATCATTATAAATAACCCAATATTTCTATTTCCCAATTTACATTAATAGCTAAAATGTCAATGGAACTTCCTTACTCAGAAGTATTATCCTCCTTGTAAAGCCTTTATTTACACTTCAAATGCAGCATTTATTTCACTATTCCTGCAAGTGGTGACACGTTTACCACTCCCACCAGACTCAGTCTACCATAAGGTACAGGCATATTCCTAATTTCTTTTCTGTCTTCCATAATTTCCTACTGTGTGGAACCTTAAGTTGATGCCTAGCATCAGGAAATTCTTTTATTCTCACATAAAGACTGGAAAATAAACACAAAGATTATACTTGCCTTATTCTCTTCATTTTGAATAATTTCCAACAGCTGGCTTATATGTCCTTCTTCTAGACATCTTTGGCCTGCTAACTGAAATAGGCCAAAATCTTCTTCCTTAAAGTCTTGTTCTTCCAGTATTTGCTGATTAGAAACAAAATTAAAAAAAAAACTAAACATACATAAAAATTCAACATTAACTACTCGATTTATTTTTATCCCTCTGCAAAAAAAAAATCTAGATCAATTCCATATAAATGAAAATCAGGATTATCCCCCCCCCTAAGATCCCGCAATGGACTTGAAATTCACTAGAGAGAGCTAAAACCAAGGATCAGCCCTAAAATTCAAAAAGATTATTTCGATCAATGTGTTACTTGGAGAAAAACTCTCCAATCTGCGTCTTCCCCCCATGTGATTTACAGATCAAAAAGACAGGGATTACAGAGAATAAATACTTCAGTGGACCACAATCTAGTAAAAAAGAATCTACACTATTAACCAACCATACTTCAAAAGGTCTTTAAGTTTACAAAGACAAAAGTTACTTACACATCTTTTTATTACGGACTGAAGCTCCTCTACAGCCATGCCTCCTTGTGTTTCCTAATTCCACCGCTGAAAGGTACTGACAAGAGCAGTTAATTCCCTTTAATATCCCATTGACGTATTCTAAGTTATCGTTCAATCTGATGAGCATGAGTTAGTAAACACCATAAAGAAAACGCAAAGTTTTAAGGTTGAGATTTTCATGCTAAGCAAGGTACTTCAGCCTAAGAAATCAAAGATTTAAGGCTCTTGATTTTTTGTTTTCACTTTTTAAGTTTTCTAGGCTCCATAGTTGTTTTTTTTTTACTGCATTTAATTTTATAACAACGTTTCATAGGCTCTGATGTTCCCCCTTCCCCTCCCCTTGCCTCTAGGCTCATAGTTTTCAATGATACCTTAACAAAAGCAAAAAAATCCTATAGCCCTCCCAAGAGGGGAGGCACGTACAAAGAGAAGGGCTTTAAAGACATGAAGGGACTTCCAAACGGTAGGCCTGAGATAAAGCTTTTGATGATCTGGCAACTGTTTGCTCTTTATTAGCCAAGCTGCCCAAACTTGGGGTGCAGCCCAACCAAAACACCCAGCGAGGGCGAAGGTCAGAAAGGGTCTCCTTCCCACCTAGGGGTTCCAGGCCCCCGGGAAGCTCCGGCACACCGAGGCCAGAGCCGACGCCGCGGCTGGGGTCGTGCGGCAGGGCCCGGCCGCCCCAAGGCCCGCGGTCCGGGTGCGGGTCGCCCCAAGGCCCGCGGTCCGGGTGCGGGTCAGCAGGGTCCTCGCCGCAGCGCGCTCCAAAGGCGGGTAACACGCCCGCGCGCGTGCGGTCGGCCGCCACAGGCGGCCATGGCTCCCGCTCTCCAGGCGTCCCGGCCCCAACCCCCACGGGGACCTGCGCGGGTCACGGCGTCCGTCCCCCGCTACTCACCGCGAGCCCCGGCCGCCTCGCACACCGCCGTCGCGCGTCCACCAGCGGCCACACGCCGCGCCCGCTCACCCGACCCACCGCCTCGGCTCCCGGCGCAGCTCGCGCTCCAGGCCCCGCCCCCGGCCCCGCCCCCGGACGCACAGCACGTTCGGGGGCGGAGCCTCGTGGGGGGCGGAGTCGAGAGGCGGTCGGAGCAGGCTGCCGGCTCGCTCCAGGACAGACTGCCATGGCTGACGGGCTGGGGTCGCGGGCTGCCGGCCGCCCGGCTCGGGCTCCCCGGTCGTCGCGAAGCGCCACGGGTAGGCATAGGGACCCCCCTCTCACGGGTAGAACCCAGGGACGGGACCCACATACCGAGGCGTGTGGTTGCTCTCGAAAGACTTGCTCTAGAGAAGGCTTGTCCTGTGGGGAGAAGGCCTAGAAGCTTCGCACCGTGGTCCTTGCGCCTTCTAGAAGCCCGGCTCCTTTGTACAGGGTCTGTGAGCACGGCCTCTGAAGTACAGGGCAGGGGTCCCCAGGCTGGGCCAATGGCCACGGCAGCGTTGGCAGCATGTATAACCCGTCTTGAACCTGGCACCTGCCTTTGAAAGCTTGGCCCTCCCCTCTGTAGGGAGCAAGCAGTTGGGGACTATGAGTTTTCCCCGCTCAAGTGCCCAGATTTTTAGGGGTGCTTAATTAGGCCACTGCGACGCGTGAGCCGATTCAACCCCGAAAGAGATAAAAGAAAAACTAGAGTGGTGAATTAATAAATAAAAAAAAAAAAACAGTGGAAACCTTCCAGTTTCATTTTGATTTACACAGAGTTGGAAATGAACTTTGGGGGGGTGCATGGGCTGTAGTTTGTTATTTGAGTAGGAATCCTCTGTAGCTAATATGTTTGAGTTAACATATCTATCTATCTATCTATCTATATATATACACACACACATATTTTAAATTGTAGGTACTAAACAGAAGAAAGCCTTGAAATCAGAAGATGTTTCTAAAAGGTAAGACAACTGCCTGGACAGATTGCATTCTTGTATTCATTAAAGCAATCTTTAAAGCCATGGGCACCTGTTTGGGAGGCAATCTTATTAGACAAGTTTCTACATACACCGTTTTGTCCCTCTCTGCCAGGCTCTAAGAACCCATATAGCGGGGTGGGCATGGATGCCGCTGGTGTGAGTCACGTCCGGTAGCAGCATACCTGGATTCCTGGCCCTGTTTGCAGGGCCAACTTCCTAATGCATCCTTGGGAGACTGCAGGTGATAATCGTTGGTCCCGGCCACACACTTGGAAGTCCCAGCTAACGATTCTGGTGCCTGGCTCTCACCTGGTCCACACACCTGGCTGTTTGACCCAAGCATTTGAGGCGTAGACAGTGAATGCGCAAACCCTTTATACCTTTCAGCTGAATTAAATAAATAAAGGAAAACCAACTGACTTAGACTGCTAATAAAGGCATAAGTGTCTGTATAAACAGCTTTCCAGATTTAGCCAGACACACCTTTTCTACCCTTTTAGGGATATTTTTTTGTTTGTTTATAAGTCAGAGAATGAGAGTCTGCCCAAGTTTCTCTTTGACAGGCTTAGAAACCTTTTTTTTTTTTAAAGATTTATTTTTATTTTTTTTTATTGGAAAGGCAGATATACAGAGAGGAGAGACAGAGAGGAAGATCTTCCATCCGATGATTCACTCCCCAAGTGAGCGCAACGCTGATACTATGCCGATCCAAAGCCAGGAGCCTCTTCCGGGTCTCCCACGCGGGTGCAGGGTCCCAAAACTTTGGGCCGTCCTGGACTGCTTTCCCGGGCCACAGGCAGGGAGCTGGAAGGGAAGCGGGGCTGCCGGGGTAGAACCGGCGCCCATATGGGATTCCGGGCGTGCAAGGTGAGGACCTTAAGCACTGCGCCACTGCTCTGGGCCCTAGAAACCTTTTTGTTGTTGTTACATGAAGTGCAGACTTTCATCAGAAAGCTATCCTGTATCATTTTTGACTTCTTCAAAGGGTGGGTGTTTGACCTAGTAGTTGAGATGTCCATATCCTGCATTTAATCCCTGGCTCCAGCTTTTTTTTTTTATTTAATTTAATTTTTGATGGTCACATAGTTGACAAGAATGCAGGCCCATGAAGACCATTGAACAGGGTGGGAGGGTCAAGGTATGGCAAAAGATGGGTGGGACAAATGCTTCTAATTTTTTTTTCTTCTATTGGGGGACCTGGGGTTGAGGAATGGAGGAGGAGGCAATTCCCAGCTGCCAAACTACATTAGCACCCAAGGATGGAGGGGGGGTTATCCACTTGATGTCATCTCAGAAACTCAGATGTGGAGAAGAACGTTCTGAGGGTATTGCGTGAGTGGTATTGATAGTTCTGAGACACTGTTGGTTTCATTGTTCCAAGGTTGAGAAAATCCTTCTAAGGACCATTGGCTAATTGAGTCCACTGCAGTACATCCACTCACCCAGACATTTGCCCCCAAAGCTCAGAACTGCCCAACCTGTTCTGTTTTTCATCCTCTTGCATGGCACTCAGCATCCTCTGCAGGCCTGAATGAGCTGACCGTCATGTCACCCTTGTGCACCTGAGCATGCCGTCCGCTGCATAGGCGTCATTAATTGAAGAGGCCCAGTCCAGACACCTGCATTTCAAAGGCAGAGCACAAATCCTTTGGTTCTCCCTGTGGCCAGGGAGTGCATTTGAGTCCAGGGGTGCATTCCCTCAAGAAACCTCACCTGGGGTAACCCCAGACCTGAATCCTGCATGTGCCAGCTAGCACAGGGTTCTGTTCTGTCCATCACCCACCTCTGACTATGCACACGCTGGTAATTGTACTTGCCTGGTCAGTTGTATCCCCAGCCCCACATCCTATGCAAACCTATGTGGGTTCTGTGGCCCAGTCTAACCCGGTGTGCCACAGACCTGGCTCAAGTGCATACCAGTGGGAATTGTAGTCCAGTTGGGATGTCTCCCAATTGCCCCCAGCCCCAGTTCCTGCGCATGTCATTATATACAGCAGACTAGACAGTCCATGTCACATCCCAATTGGGCTCTTATATATATATCTATGTATATTACAGTTTAGCTCAGCCCATCCCACCCTACTGCATGACCCGGTCCTCACATTGTCAGCAGGTGCTGCCACTTTGTCCAGCCTGGTCCATTCCCAGCCCTGGTTCTCATGTATACTATTGGGAGCTGCAGCCCAGCTAGGCCCTAAGAGGCCCACCTCCCAGTCCAGGATCTTGCACTTTCCAGGGGATCTAGTCTGACAGGGCTTGCACCTTGTCCTGGCACTTGCCAGTGGATGCTATTGCAAGCCCAGCCAGTCAGCACTTATCCTGGTCCTTGTGTCTGTCAACAGATACAGGAGCCTGGCCTAGCCTGGCCCTCCATCAGACCCAGCTCACAGGCAGGCTGGCAGTTGCTGCAGCCCTACCACCCTGGTCTACTCCTAGTTGCAGCTCTTAGTCTCACCAATGGGAGCAGTGGCCCAGCAGAAAAGCCCCTGCAACCCCTGCATCCAGCCATGGTGTTGCATGTGCTGGTAACTGCTACAGCCCAGTCTGGCTTGTCTCATCACCCTGCCATTCACCAACAGGTGTTGCAGTCTGGTTCTACTCAGCCTGCCCCCAGTCACAGCTCCAAGCTGGAGGGTGCTGCCTTGTGTGTCCCTCACCAGACCCACTCAGACCTGGATCTCATGTATGTCAGCAGGTACTAGGCCGCTATCCTGGCATAGTCCATTCCCCAGTCTTGGCTTGTGTGTGTTGGTGGATGTTGCAGCCCAGCCCAGCCCACCCCACACTTAATTCTTAGGTACATCTGTAGGCATTGTAGCCAGGACTACCCTGGCCTCTTCCTAACCCCAGTTCCCATGAGTGTCAGTGAGTTCCGTGGTCATTCCTAGTTTAGCCTGTCACCACCCCCAAGCCTTGAGCAAATCAGCTGGTATTGCATTCCCACAGGGGTGAGCTCACATATCCCTCATAGAATCTAACCCCAGACCCAGATCTCCTGTGCTGTTTAGTGTCATGGCCCAGCTTAATGTAGCCCACCCCCTGCCTCGATGTTCACTGCAAGGTACTGTGGTCTACCCCTGCCAGGCAGCCCCCCGCCCCCCAGTCTTAACTTTTGTGTGCAGAGGTAGGTGATGGTCAATACCAACAAGCTCAACTCAGGTCTCCTACATGAGTGGGTGCATTAGTCTGACCCCAAAAGATCCTCCAGTTTTCCTCCAAACAACCTGGTCTTAATGTCCTCATTTACCTGCCAGCATAGTGGTATGGTTGGTGAAAATCCCCTAGAAGTCATTCCTCACCTATACCATTCTCCCTCAGCAATCCTCCCTCCCATATATCCCCATATTCCCTTTCCTGAGCAATCCACAGCCTCCATGCCCACGATTATGCAGGTCCCCAAGCTGGTCTTCAGGCAGTACGGCCTGGGAACCTGTCCACCTGCTGGGGGCCTGTGCACACTCACACATGGGTCCCCAGACCCCTGTGCCAGTGTGCTGGCGTCTATTGGCTCTGGCTTTGAATTTCAGCTTCCTGCCAGTTAAGAGCCTGGAAGCAGCAGTGATGTCTTCAGATAGGTTCCTACCAACTATGTGGGAAACCTGGGTTGAAATTTCAACTTCTGGCTTCAGGCCTACTCCAACCCTAGCCTTTGCAGGCATTTTCGGGATGAACCATTAGATGGGAGCTCTCTCTGTTTATTGGCCTCTTTGCTTTTCAGGTAGGTTTATTTTTTGGATTTTTGGTTTTTTTTTTTTTTTTGAGTGGGGTATTATGTCGAGTTTTCTGGAATGGAAGTAATCAATGAAGGGGTTTTAGAAGTATATATATTTGGAGCTGGGTTGGTGGCATAACAGACTATTCCAACACCTACAAGTACCAGCATTCCATGTGGGCACCAGATTTAGTGTCAGCTGCTCCACTTCCTATCCAGCTCCCCACTTATGGCCTGGGAAGGCAGTGGAGGATGACTTGGGTCTTCAGGCCCCAGTACCTATTTGGGAAACCCAGATTCTTCTGCCTTTAGCTTTGGATTGGCTCAATTCTGTCCATTGCAGCTAATTGGGGCTTGAATCAATGAATAAAAGATCTGTTTCTGTCCTTTCTCTGTAGAAAGTCTGCCTTTTAAATGAAAAGAAATAAATCTTTAAAAATAAAATTATATAATGATTTATCACTCTCTGAAGATTCAATAATCTCACATTTGCATTAGCCTTAATTTTACTTATTCTGTATCCATACCTGTGTAAGATATTTCAGATTCTCATTAGGCCCTGAGGCTATGATGTTGAAAATAATAGATAGTTCTTGTCTAGTGAATCAGAGGCATGCCAATTAAACTAGCACAAGTAATTAGCCAAGTGATAAAATTAGACTATCGTGTTATGAGGAGGCACTAATAACAGAAATCTAGTTTAGCTGGTGATAGTAAGGAAGTTGGCTGTAAGTATCCAGGGGAAGACTTTTCTGAGGAAATAATAATAAAGCTGAGCCATGAAGGCTAAATGCGTGTGAACCATACAAAGTGTAGAGAGGAGAAACCTTCAGCTAAGGACCACTTCAGACAGAGGTAAGATGCTGAGGAGGTTGATTTAAGTTCTCAAAGTGTTAAAACTTGAGTTTTGGTAGTCATCTATGAGTGGGAAAACTAGATGGGTTTGAAGTCTGTTTTGGAGAATATTTTTCTGTGGAAAAGCACGATAGTGACTTGTCTTTAGAAAATACTGATTATGATGCTCATTTGCAACAGTTCTCAGTTCTGAGCTGACACAGTACTTTGGAGGTCACATTTCCCACAGTTTGAGCAAGATAGGTAAGCAGAAATGTATTTTGAGCAGGTTACTCATAGTGCTGGTACTATTACAACATCTGTTGGAGTAACCAAATAATTGTTGAGAGAAGTTACCCACTGTATTAATTTATCTGAACTGAATAGTATTTATCCAGCTAAATACTATTAAGGCAGATATTGACTAGATTTGCTAAAATATGGAGTAGTTCTACTCCTTTCACAGAATTTTTCAATTGAAGATACTAACAATATTAATTTCAGTCCTAATGTAAATATAGAAATATAAGGCCACATATGTAAATAAAGGTTCTAATTTTAAAGGTATCAAGGAGTCCTGAAACTAGAATGTTTGTGAACTCTTTCAGCATACACATTCTCCGTTGTGTTCTGGAACAGAGGGCATCATTGAGGAGGGATGTGCATGGGAGGTGTCTGTAATTTAAGAGGAATATGGCTAGTACCACAGGTGGAAGGGGTTGATGAGTCAGCATTTCCATAAGATAGGTTGTCTACTGGTCTTTTTCGTTAGAGGGAGAGAGAGACATCTTCTATCTGCTGGTTCACTCCCCAGTGGCTGCAGGGCTGGGCCAGGAGGAAGCCAAGAACCTGGAACTCCATCCAGATGTTTGGCAGGAGTAGCAGTTTTCCAGATACTTGGGCCATCTCCTGCTTTCCAGTGTCCCTTAGCAGGGAGCTGGTTTGGAAGTGGAGCAGCTGGAACTCCAGCCGATTCCCAAAAGGGGTGCTGACATCACAGGTAGAGGCTTAACTTACTATACCATAATGCCAACCCCATCTGTGTTGATGTCTCTTATTCTTTGATATAAAAACTAGTGTGTATAAAATGGTGGCAGATTGGTTGTTGCAAACTGTTTTTTTTGAGGTCCCTATTAGATGAATTTTATTGTTGACAAAACTATCAGTCCTTCAAGTTGTTTTTGTGAAACATGTTTCTCCAGGCACGGAATTAGAGTCTATAGGCTTGGTAATGAGCAATAATAAGTAGGAAGGAAAGTAGCTACATTCTAGGTGTGTATGTGAGAGGTAAGTCAAGGCCCAGGAAGCTGGCAAAGGTAATTCCAACAGACAGGAGAGGAGCAAGTTTGTCACCAAGATGGTTGATGTCTTTGACCTATAGCATCCTCAACCCTGCTGCATACTAAGATTATCTAGGTATTTTTAAGAAAATGCCAAAACCAGGCCCTGACCTCAGAGTTCTGATTTTGTTTTCAGTGGAAACTAAACAAACTATCTTGTTTAAGGTCTGCTTAGATTATTCTAATGTTCGGCTAGGATGAAGAAACCACCATCTGTGGGACTACTATTTGATCATGTAGTCTGTACTTTTATGATCTGTAATGTGAGAAGCAGCAAAGGCTTACCAAGTCCCATTAGTGAGTGACAAGAACAAACTCTTCTTGGAAGCTTTTTGTTTTGTTTTTTAATTTATCTGACAGACACAGAAAGCTCCCATCCATTGGTTTACTCACCAGTCTCCACAGTGGCTACATTTTCAGCTGGGCCAGAACAGAAGCCAGGAGCTGGGAACACGGTCTGGGTCTGCCCACGAGTGGCACAACTCAGTTGCTTAAGGTGTCCTGATGCCTCTTGGGGCCTGTGTTAACAGGAAGCTGGGGTCAGGAGCCAGAGGTGAGTATCAAACCTGGACACTCCAATACAGGGCCCAAGTCATCTCAGCTGAGAGCTCAACTGCCAGATCAAATGCTTGCCCCAAATCATACATTCATATCAAGAGCAAGTAAGCACTTCTTTCCAAATATGACTCTGTTTTGTCAACAGACATCAGCTAACTTTGAGAATTGACACAAATTTTTGCTTATAAGAAAAACAGAAGACCTTTTTTCCGTTCTAATCTGGATTTATGGCTGATTACCGTAGGAAAGAAACTTCCCTTTTTAGGTGCCTGTGGGAGTGATAGATTACAAGCTCCTTCAGAATATGTAAAAAAAAAAATCACCCTGTTGTCTTTACAGTGGAAGTCACTAACTGCATGCTTGTGTCCTGATCATGGAAATAACCCTGGTAGCAGACTGCTGTTAGTACGGAGTAACAAAAAGCTGTTTTGTTTTTTAAAAGTGTTGAATTAACACAGCATTAAAAAATATAAAGTTAAGTGGTGCAAGAGTGGCCTACGTGAGTGTTGGATTTAAAACATGGAATATTGAACATAATAAAGCTCTTATGTAGATTATTTTTCTCATTACAATTTTAGGAAAGCAGAACTAGAAGCAGCTGTGAGGAAGAAGATTGAGTTTGAGAGAAAAGCTCTACGTATTGTTGAACAGCTTTTAGAAGAGAATATTACAGAAGAATTCCTGAAGGAATGTGTATGTGTCAAGTTGATAAATTGTTAGTTTTCTGATGTGACATCTTTAAATCAGTGCAACATGAAACATCTTTGCATTATTGAAATCTTTGAAACTGCTCAGTTGTTACTTGCATGTAACAAGCAACATAACTCATACGTTTTTAAATAATCAAGTATCATGCATTCATTGTATAATAACCTTCAAATGCACTAGTGAAAAATAACAGGTACAAAGCAGTGTGATTATAGGTAAAAATGCATGCTTCAAAATTACAAAAAGTAGATTTTGAATGTCCTCATTTGCAAAGAAACATTAAGTATGTGAGATTGGATATATTCTATCCTGATGTGCTTATTCTGCAATGTATTGAAACATATACTCCATAATTATTTGTAATTATTATATGTCAGTTAAAAATAAATGACAAGTTTATCTTACCCCTCCACAATTTTTCTTTTTTTTTTTTTTAAATCTGCTACTTCCACCTGATTTTCCTTACTATCTTACCCTTCAGTTACAGTTTTAATCTGTTAATGCTACTTGATTTTCCTTACTTTGTGCTTGGTGTTGCAAAATCAGTTTTCTGATATTCTGCTGTTATATTAAGAAACAAAATATTTTTCCTAATGTAGCTCCATTTTGGTATTTTCAGAAATCTGGATTATTCAGTGAGTAGACACAAAATAAGAAACTTGCAGTCTGGATTTGGTTTTTTTATGTAACTTTATTGTATTAATCTTCTGAATGGAAATGTCTTGTGTCATTATAATTCCTTAGAGAAAGAGCCCAGAGTTTCCATGCAGAAATAATTCTTATCATATTCTGGAATTTCTTCTAAAAGAAATAGGAACAAGACAATTTAAATTGATATAGGTAGCTACGTCGGAATCTTCATGCAGTAAAACATTAAAAAGACAAATCAGAAATGGTTTGTTTGAAAAAGAAGTCACTTTTAATAAAGAATATTTTAGTTTCTATGAAAATGGAAATAGCCTATTCAGAAATTTGTCAAAGTTATGAAAAAAAATGATATGAGCATGAAGATATCAAAGGAAAATATTTAGTGTTAGCTTATCACCACTTCCCATCATTCTGTGAGGTTTTTTCAGGAATAGAAAGGTTTTGCATTAAAACTTACACACAAGAGTGATGACATTTTCAGATGGTGCTTTCAAAAGATAGGTTAAATTATATTTTATTGCCTTATATTATTTAGTTTGGGGGCAGTTATGTTTGAGGATTTTTGACTAGTAGAATTGTACAATTTAAGGGCACAGTGCAATATTTCCACACATGCATCCAGCATACACTATGAAATCAGGCAGTCAGCATCCATACCTCCCTGTCCTTCCTGCTTGTTTGGAGCCTACCAGCTCCTCGCTCCAGTTCTTGATAAATAACGCATGGTTGTGTTCTGTGTTGCCTCTCTGTGCTGTGGAACACTAGAACTTACCTCTGTCTCTCTGTGCTAGTATCCTTTATGCGACTTTTTATCCTCTGCCTTTGTTCTTCCTAAGCCCTTCCCAGTGTCTAATAATCACTTCACTAGAACTTTCTTAAAAATAAGATACTGTCATCAGTCATCTTTGCTATCACCGTATCTCTAGTTCTCTCAGAACTACTTCATAAGATATCTGTGAAGATGCATAATCTGCTTTTTGTTTCATTAAGAGCATTATTTGAGTGCTCACTGTCAAGAGTGAAACACTTCCTTGAGAGGCTTGTATTTTCTCTAATTCTGACCTGAAGTATTTGAGATCAGAACTATTTTCCTCGTGTTTTCAGAGGAGATCAATGAATCTTAGAGATGATAAGTGGACTTTTCCAATGATCTGGAGAGAAACACCCTTCTTGTTTCATTATAGGGGAAATTTATAACACCTGCTCACTACAGTGATATCGTGGATGAGCGTTCTATTATCAAACTTTGTGGTTACCCCTTATGTCAGAAGAAATTGGGAATTGTAAGTAACCAATTTTATAAAATATATGCCTTTATAATTTATTTTTATTAGCAAAGTACTTGTAGAAAAATCAGGAAATGAGATCATAAACAAATGACACAGATCAGCTGAATGTGAGTTAATCTTTTAACATTTATATTTATTACTTACATTCTTTTGTAAGCTGTATCTTACTTTTTCTTAGGTACCAAAGCAGAAATACAAAATTTCTACCAAAACCAATAAAGTATATGATATTACTGAAAGAAAGGTAAGTTTATAGGCTGTTTTCAAGGTAACAGTTAATATTTCAGTATATTAAATAGAATTCTGGAAGAGCTGTAAAATGTTGATCATTAGAAAATAATTATGTAAAAAGTTTCTATGTACTTGTAAATATTTCAGTCACGGTACTTAAAAATTCTTTACATTTTAATTAAGACAGTTAAGACTTTCACATTTAAAACTTGAAAGTGTACAAATTAAGTGAATCAATCATGGAATAGAAGGAATAGAGAGCCAGTAACAGCTGTACCAAGTCTGTGGACACTTGATGCAAAGCACTGAGTGTGTTGTAGATCAGTAAAGAAAGCATGGATTTTTTTAGTACATGATACTGGCTCAACCAGTTATCCAAATGGAAAAATGAGAATTGACTCATTTTATATGAAAAAAATTCAATTTTAGGCACTTCTTGCCTCTGAGCTAGACAGTTACAATATGATTAAGACGGTAAATAAAATATAATGTACCAGCACAATGAAATGTCATATACATTAAAAATAATAATCATTACAAAGTGAATAAACTACAGAATGAACCTTAAAAAATGTAATTTTGGAAAGCAGAAGAGATAAAGGTATATAACTGATTTCAGATAACATTTTTTAAAAGGCAAAATGGGATGATATATTTTATTGGGATATGATGTAAGTGGGAAAACTAAAGGAAATGTTTAACCCCACGTTTCTGATAGTAGTTTCCTCTGGGAATTGTGGAGGGTGATGGAGTTGAGAAGTAACACACAGAGGCCTTCAAAGGCCTTCTCTCTTATCTTAGAGCTGTAATATTCATGGGTTTTCATAGTGTTCTTTGAAACTGCACATTTATGTTTTTTACACTTCTGTGTATTGTTAGCATGTCATGATAAAACTAGTTTTAAAATGCTCTTTTCAGTCTTTTTGCAGTAATTTTTGTTACAAAGCATCCAAGTTTTTTGAAGCACAAATTCCTAAAACTCCAATATGGGTTCGAGAAGAAGACAGGTAATTTAAATCATTATTTGTATAGTTAGTTGAAATATTCGAACAATTTCTGATTTTGAGATTGGCTGAAGGATAGGTTTAGTTTTCTGTAGAATGTTGCCATTTTAAGCATGATTATTATAGATTTTGCTTTTGAAAATCATAAGATTCATACATAAAAATATTACTTGTTGGCTATTATCATTTTAATCACTAAGCAGGAACTATCATTTCAGCTTCATGCTCTGCCAGTTGTATCTGTGAATACTGTTAACATAATGATCATGGAATAAAATGTTACATGTTTTTAGAAGATACCAGGTCTTGAGATCCAGCTGAACACACTTTATTGCTAGGAGTCTGCTTAATTAGGTTAAAAAGTTCATGTTACTGGTTCATTTAATCTTGATTAAATCAATATAATATTTCATGAATTTAAGAAAGCCAATTAAAAAGTCGTGTTTGTTGGCAAAGTTTAGGGTTATGACTCAGGTGATATGCCACTGGGATTTTTTACTGGATACTGAATTTGAGAAGATTTCTTATTAAAGATGAAATAACATGATATGAAACATAGCAAAAATAAATGATTATTCCAATAACTAAACTATAACAAAAGTTTAATGAGATATAATGCCCCATATAATTAATATTTAATAAAAAGAGCATTATTATGAGTATGTAATAGTCTCCTTTTAAATAAAGTTTCACTCTCCATGTTTTCAGTTACCCTGAAAATATTAAATAGAAAACTGCAGAAATCATAAATTCTAAATTGCATACTGAGTACCCGGTGTGATGGCTCAGTGGCTAAATTCTTGCCTTGCAAGCACCAGGATCCCATATGGGTGCTGGTTCATGTCCTGGCTGCTCCATTTCCCTTCCAGCTCCCTGCTCGTGGCCTGGGAAAGCAGCAGAGGACTGCTCAAAGCCTTGGGACCCTGCACCCATGTGGGAGACCTGGAAGAGACTCCTGGCTTCAGATTGACTAAGGTGCTGCCATTGTGGCCACTTGGGGAGTGAACAAGTGGACAAAAGATCTTTGTCTCTTCTCTCTATAAAATCTGCCTTTCAAATAAAAATGAATAAATCTTAAAGGAAAAGAAAAATTGCATCTGAGTACTGTAATGAAATCTTGCACTACCTGCCCTGGAGATGAATCATTCTTTTCTATCCATGCAGTATCCTGCCTTCCTAAGAGTTGCTTACTAACAGCATAGGAAAAAATGTAGTACACAGATTTCATGATGTCCACAGTTTCAGACAGTATGGGGGACTTGGAATATATGCCCCCACAGATAAGAGGGGATTGTAAAAAGCCATCAAGTGTTTTTGAACAGAACTCAGTCTGGTATTGGTGGACAACATAAAGAAGAATCATAAGTAGTTGGAAAGATCTTAGATTTAATCCAACTTCATTTAACTTAGAAGAATTTTTAAATGAATTTTATTATTTGAAAGACATACAGAGAGAAGCAGAGACAGAAAGATCTTCCATCTGCTGATTGATTCCTCAAATGTCCACAATGGCCGGAGCTGAGCTGACCCAGTTTCTTCTGGGTCTCACATGCGGGTGCAGGGTCTTAAGGGTTTGGACCATCTTCTGCTTGTGTAGGCCATAAGCAGGGAGCTGATTGGGAAAAGCAGCAGCCAGGACTCAAACCAGCACCCGTATGGGATCCCAGCGCTTGGATGTGGAGGATTAACCAGTTGAGCCATTGTGCCAGCCCCTAAACTCAGAATTACCAGGGGATACACAATGCCTGCATTCATTATCAGTGCTGGCTCAAGTCCTGACTGCTTCACTTCTAATTCAGCTTTCTGCTAATGCATCAAAAAGGGACGGGGGAGACACTAAGTATATTTCTTAGTGGCCCATTGTGAGTCCAGAATCTTTCAGTTTTACCTTTGTTTACTTGAGGGGGAGAGAATGAAGTAATTCCTATCTGTTGAGAGAGAGCTTCCATCCGTGGATTGACTTCCTACAGCTGGGTGAGAACTCACTTTGAGGGCAGGAACCCTGTCACTTGAGCCATCACTGTGTTAGCAGGAGGCTAAAGTCAAGAACCAGAGCAGGCACTCTAGTAAGGAACACAGAACATCTTAACTTGATTTTAAAAAGCCACTAAGTACTCTATAAATATGTGTCTCTATATACAGTCACACCATAGTCATTAATTGTGATGATTTTAAACTCTTTCAGTGTATTTTGTGTCTGGAGAATCCCTGATTTCTAAATTCTTGAAAGAAATGATACCAGTGTTATTTGCTGAATCCACTAGAGGTCACTGTTTTTTTTTAAGAGACTGATTTTTTTTTTTTTTTTACAGTGTGTGCTAAGGATATAAATCTTGGTGTTTAAAATGCTTGTCTAGTTATTACACATATAAGCTCTATAGAAATGTGATATTTGAAATCTTTCAGATATGGTATGAGTTACAAGAGTAAAAACTAATAACAGGGAAAATGACTTTTTTTTAAAATGTTATTGATTCATTGGAAAGTAGTGATAGATCAGACTTCCATCCTATGGGTCACTCCCCACATAGCCACGATGGTCAGGGTTGAGCCAGGCAGAAGAGAGGAGCCAGGAGCTTCTAGGTCTCCCAAGTGAGTAGCAGGGACCCACGGACTTGGCCTGTCTTCTGCTGCATTTCCTAGGCCAGTAACAGGGAGCTGGATTGAAAGTAAAGAAGCCAGGATATGAATCAGCATCCATATGGAATGCCAGCATTACAGGCTGCCTGCTACATCATAATGTTAGTGCAGATATATTTTCATCAGCTCACACTGAGTCCTGATTACATCATTACATCATAGTAATTTTGATAAATCATGACTTTAAAATAGGAGTAAATTTTGAAATCTCAAGGAATTATATATTTGGTGACTTCCAGACTTTTAAAAGTAACTTATTTCAGAGATCTGACATCTGGTACTTCATTCCCCCAACACCAGGCAGGGCTGTGCCAGAAGCAGCTGGGAGCCTGGAGTTCATCAGAGTTCCCATAGCTGAGCTAGGTAACTGAGGCAGGTCCCCCCAGCTCACCGGGGGCACGTTAGGGGAAAGATGCCTCCCAAGCGGAGAAGGCAGCATGAACGTAGGCATTCTGCTGCCAGGTCTGCGCAGCCCGAGTGACATCTCACCACTGCATCAAATGCACACCCCACTCCAGACATTCTGACCACTAGTAGATTCCATATCATGTTCTTACAGATGCATTATGTTCTTATACATGCACATATGGAAGTTTATGAAACTTGATGGGTATTTCTACTTTGTAGTTTAAAACTCTGGTAGGAACTCCCTGACGGTCCAGTTGTGCAGCTTGACAAGCATTGTTTTATTGGCTCTGGCACAATTTTCTGTTTTACTATGAAAGAGTAACTTATCTACACTAGAACTCAGTGTCTTCCCTTTTACAAGTAGAAGGTTACATTAACCTTAGTTCCCTTTAGTTGTGTTGTTTTGTAGTTCTAAGTTAATTGCTTCTCGGCCTTTTGGCTAAGATCAAGTGTAGTGTAGTTCTAAGTTAATTTGGTCTTTTTAAAAATTTATTTCTTTTCATTGGAAAGACAAAGATAGAGGAGAAACAGAGAAAGATCTTCCATTTTCTGGTTCACTCCCAAAGTGGCCACAATGGCCAGAGCTAAAACAGTCCAAAGCCAGGGACTTCTGGGCTTCCACGTAAGTGCAGGGTCCCTGGGACTTGGACCATTCTCCGCTGCTTTCCCAGGCCACAAGCCTGGAGCTGAGTGGGAAGTGGAGCAATTGGGACTGGATCCAGCACCCTTATGGAATGCCAGTACTTCAAAGTAGAGATTTAGGCTGTTGAGCTGTGGTTCCAGTCCCTAATTGGGTCTTTAGTCACTGCTGCTGTCATGAAAATTTTCTGAATAAGGTATCCTATTTGTAAAAATGGTAAAAATTAAAATTATCAACTTACATAGAAGAAACCTATACTTAGAAAGAATATATCGTAGAAGTTCAGAGTTAAGGGGACTGGTTAATTTGAACTCTAAATTTTAAAGATGATGACTGATAAAGATTATACCAAGGTTTTTAAATTATGAGGAAAAGCCAATGATTTATTTCCCTGAACAGTTTGCAAGTTGACATCCTTAGGGACACTGTGGTCTTCCATACTGTTAGGAAATAGGTTATTGAATTTGATTCTGTTTGATCTTTGATTGTTTTGGAAAGTAGTTTAAATTTATTTATTGGATTCTAAACACTGAAACCTAGTAGTGGTCTCTTAAAATTTGTAAGATACTGCATTATACCAAAATAAGCTCACTTTCTCATTGATATAAATTTTTAAAACAGACTTAGAAAAGATTTAGACAAATACATGAATTCTTCCTCAGTACTTATATTAAGACTTTGAAATCAAGGGCTTTGTAGAGTGAATATTTTTAAGATATGAATACATGTGGGGAATCTAGCCAGTGTCAGGGAGAGCAGCAGCTGTTTAGGCAATGGCTCCTGATGCCCTGTTAGAGATAAAAACATTGACTTAGAAGTGTCTGGGTCTTGATATAAGGTGATGCTTCTTATGTTGTAAGTTGGAAAAGTTTTACCCACGTAGTGGCAAGAAACAGACCACATATAGTTTTGACACTGTGAAGCAGTATGCTAATTAAGATAGACGTGTATTTACAAATCCTGTCTGAGTAAATGTATGCTTTGAAGAAGGGAAATCTCTTGAATTATAAGCTAAAATGTAAATGGGAAGGACAGATGCTGGAAACCAAGTTATGATTTTGAAAATCAGGTTGGGGTGAATGGTTAATGCTGACAGAGCTAAAAGCGCCATCATGTGGCCCAGAGTAGGGGATTTTCACACGTGGCTTCTTGGCAATAAACAGTGTAATCTCAGAGGTGCGGAAGCCAAACACCTCTACAGAACAGATCTTATAACCTCTTCCTGAACAGCCAGCTCTGTTGCTCAGTGTATGAAGTGAATGCTTTCTGAAGCAGATTTTAACATCTATGGAAATGTATTTGGAAACTCGCACCA